CCTGTAATCTTTTCAGAAAATTCAAGTTGAACCTTAATTTGTATTCGAGAAATGAAATATATGCTTTTCAATGTATTATCGAGGTATTGTTTTAGTCGACCACAATACAAATATCATACTCTTAAAATAAATTGAGATTATCAAATTAAATTGAATCAAACCGACAATTAATTCAGCCTGAGAGTGCGCTGCTGTCCATAGTTTGATATGTGACATTTAACTACATTACTTTTTAACCGTAAACTGTAAATTTAAAATTCCCACGTTATTCTTACGGAAATAAACTTAAACTGTTGTAGTTTGCTTGTTTATAGATAATATCTATAAACAAGCAAACTACAACAGTTTGAAGTAAATAAACCAAATTTACAAATTTAGTTAAAATATATATTTTAACTAAATTTGTAAATTTGGTTTATTTCATACTAAGTTATCAACATTGCAATAAATTAACCTCATCTCAATATCTTCCCTGTAGCAGCAAACCTTTAGCACTTACTAAAATTAATGTTATTTAAATAGGAAATAAATCTGACAATTTTTTAGGGAATGTATTTGGAGAAATCCAGCCAGGTAAATAGAAATTCGCTTAGTCTGCAGGTTTGCTGCGGTGGGGGTATTTTTATATCAAGTTTCAATTTATATGTAAATGGGGTGTTTACTTGAGTATCAAAAAACCAATACTAAAACTCTATCATTTATCTCCGGCCAAGGACAAAACCAGACGTCTGATTTTGTCCGTTTTTGTATTATAAATGTTTTCGTATGTGTTTATGTGTATATGTGAAGTAATTTTGACGATGGCTTGCAAGAGAATATATTTGACATATGACGACCGGAGAGAAGATTTGAAAATGGAGTTTTAACCCCGAAACTATAGTCATCAACGGGACTAATTGACGACAGGTTAGTAACCTCATTTTAAGAAAAATATAGGCTTTCCATTCTTCAGACAATGTTTGAATCAGAATTGTGTTCAGCATCGGAATCTGAGGCGGAGGCAAATACACCTGGAAAAGGACTGATAGACCTACAGTTGTTGTCATTCCCCATCAAAACATTTGTTGGGTGCCCATTAATAGAAACACAGAAGGAGGTTGGATAATTTAAAAAAATATATGTTATGACAAAACGAAACTTTTATCGCCTGTCTAAAATTATTGACAATGCAATTGTCTAAAATTTGGCTTGTTAAATTGGCAAGCAGTTACGATTATTGTTTTAAAAGTAATATTAGTAATAACAGGAAATCTGATAAAATTATTAAAAACATAAAAAGATGAGAGTATCCATGGTCTGGCTTGGAACTGCTGCAACTCACAATTCAGATCAGAGCCGCAGTGCGCACGACAGCAGCGTGATGTAGAAATTATCACAGGGAGTATATACAACACTCCGAGTGTTGTATATCGGAGGTTGCAACACCCTGCGTGATCGATCAAAGCAGAAAATACATCACGAGCTTGCGGCTCTTGAGCTGCGATTGAATAGTTACAACGAGCATGCCCAGGCAGACTAGGAACCAAACACCCGGCCTCCAAGTAGCTGGATTACAGGACTACGCCACGAGTCCCGCCGACAGTCTGATTAGTTAGGTTATCAGTTGAAGAGATAGTTGCAGTGATGGCCACACCAGAGCGTACTAATCGGCGAGGAACAGTTCCACTCGAGACTGTTCCATTATGATAATCGTCTCAGATACCTGTTCCATGGAACTGTTTGATACAACCTGGTGGTGTTCAGAGTTTCGAAAACTTAATTTGCATTTTAATTTTAAAGTGAAGTTGCATGGTTTATTAATATACAGTGTTAGGTTCGAGCGTTATGACATTGACTATATATTCAAAGGTTATGATCATAAACTCAATGTCAGTGTTGTTGTTTTGTTTCTGTTTGAAACATGCAGTTGCAGTCATCGATGTCATCATGATTGAAATCACCATACATCGATGGTTGGTTGCAGCATATGTTTAATCTATGGTTGCAGTATACCCATAATGTTATAGGCCTAGTATGGAACGAAACCTGTTTCTGACACTGCTATTTTACTCACAAGTCTGAGGATGTAGTTTCAGCTTTCGCCACCAGGAGAACAGAACGAGACAACAATGACTGTCATCACACAGTTCCAATGGTTACCACCAGGAGCGCATGGTATCTTAACTGTTCCGTCCGACAGAGGTTATCATGGATGAACTTTCGAGACATGCATTCTCCATTTTGTACTGGTTCTATCTTTTTTCGAATACAACTTTCAGATCGTATCAGTGGATCGCTGATCTTTCATGGTGAAAAATACTATTTTAGTGGGAGGTGAAATAGGTCGTTTTTTTTATTTGATCAAATATGTCTTATTTTTCCCGGCGTCATGGAGTAGATACTACAGTACACCTTTCATTACCTTTAATTTGAGCAATCTCCTTTCTACGACTTTTCGGACCCCCTCTTTGCGCCTCAGTTTTGGTGCAAAGAATCGCCTTACGTAATTAAATAGATTTACTGAACGGAAACTGTTGTGAACTCGTTCAAATATATTTTATTGTTATTTATATAAGTCCCTGCCTACAGTATAACAATGATAGCCAATCAACTCTTTGGGTCAACAAAAAGTGTTGTATTTGAGTGACTTTTTAGTAAATTGTAATCACAATTCATATAAATCCTATATAACAGAATTATAACAATATACAAATTAAAAATTAAACATCTCTACAATTTTCCGTTATTTACATAAGGTTTTAGTTTGTTATTGTTTCTCTAAAATAAAACTAAAGCAAATGAACTAACTAATAATAAAATGATTTGATAAATACAAATGTACCGTATTTTATTACCGCAAAGATATTTCTGTATCAACTAGGAAATACAAAAAGTAGGCTATTATAGCTTAATTATAATAATATCAAGTTATACTGTAATAGTAACGAGTATTTTACTGGTAATTGCAATAATATTTGATTAAGATGTATACAGAAAATCTTCCGTGTGTGTATTAGTGGAATCACTTTAGTGTTGAGCCCCAACAAAATTGCAACATGGAGTGATTATTTTTTTTAAACGATAGCTAAGAGTGACCTTTATAACCCCTCAAAAATCGCCACCAATCGTACCTGTGTAAAAAAATTCCTATGCCCAAAAATTCAAAATGGCGATTTTGTTGGGGCTAGATCATATTTTTAACCGTCTTCCCCACTACCAACAAAAGGAGGAGGTTCTAAATTTGTCTGTGGCAATGTTTTTATCATAAAATGATTCCACTATATGAGTAGAAATCCTCAAATTGCACAAAGCATTTGAATTGTGAGTTCTAAAAAATTGCATAGGAAATTGGCTTGACCCCCTGAAAAAATCCCAAAGGAAAAAATACTAAACCATAATGCATAAAACAACTTGCGCTCAAAATAATTCTGAATGATCAATTTTTGGTCATAGTTGAAGTACGTGTTACGAAATTGTGTAAATAAAAGGAACACATGAATCAATAAGTTAACATAGACTAAAATAATCAGTACTTTTAGAAAGATCACCTGATATTATCATTATCAATTTAAGATGATGATGCCACTTAGAAATATGTCAAAAGGGTAGACCGGGGTTGCGCCAGTTATGAGACAGTTAAAAGGGTGGCACGCACCCCATGCTACCACAGGTAGCCGAGTACAGTATTCGGGCGGAAGATGGAATGTAACCTAACCTAACCCAGTAATGAAGGGAGAAACAAAAGTTTAACTTGAAGTATTTGATGAACTAGAAATGCTGCATGGTGCAATGCAATGACGGTGTGTTTGGGGGTGGAGGGAATTTGGCTGTGGTGCTTTACCGTTGCTACCTGGCCCTAGGGGCGCAATCCCGGTGGACCGTGTCAAACGACCCTTTTACCAACTAATGCACGAGTACGAGTAACTAGTATACTGTATTGATTTTAAATACAATTATTTTTAATAAATAATTATTTCATGTAGATCAGACATTTTTACCCAAAAAATTTATTGGTGTGCTTTCTATTTTTACCCTAGAATCAATTTTCACGTTGTTTCAATAATTCAGAATTACAAATAATTTATTTAAGGAGACATTTAAGTGGAAATACTGTATGATCATGCAAATGGTATTCGCTTATTCTGAAGGTTCACTGTGGCGGGGGTATTTATGTATTACTTATAACTGTTCAACATATTTTTATCTGACATTTTGTGACTTAAAAATTTATAACTGCTGATGGTTTTGGGTATGTGACTTCATAATAATTAACATGCTTTATTATTTACTGTCAATTTTTAGGAAAGCATTTTCATCACTCCGTTCAGGAAATTGCTATTTTTGGAAACAGCTGATATAAAAACGATTGCCCTAAGTTCTAATTTAGAGCTAACAATCAGCTGATTTCCCTTTCTCTTAATTTACTTACCCTCTCGAGCAGTTCTCCATCTGTCCAATACGCTAGTCTTTGTTTACAAATTCTACAAATCAGCAGTTTAACAATACCAAATGTAATCAGAAATATGCTTAAAATAGTTTTGCTGTTTTTAGCTTGTAGTGCAAGTTTATTGCATAATGAACATAGCTCTGAACTTCTACGTTGTTATTTCGGTTTACTACAGCCCTGTAGCTTTTATTTTTATACTGAAATAATGTTAATTTATTAGGAAATAAAGGATTTAATTGCACTGAAGTCTGTTTTTCTGTATGTTAGTATTTTAGCGATGTAACAAAAATCACACTGATCGAAAGTGATTTTTTAGCACTTGCTCTAATATTATTAGTGTCCTCGGCTTCGCCTAGTATGCAAAATTTGTTGTTTCTGTGTTCAGTGTTGCCTTAGACTCGCACATGAAATGAGAGCGCCCCGGAAAATGCCACTTTTCCGCACTACTGTGGCAATGAAATAGAATATTACAATTATTGACAACATGTTTCACAGAAAAAAGAGAAAACAAGAAGGTTTATGCTTCTTTTATACAATTGTAGATGTTGGTAAAAATAACAGATTAAAAATACAGTTTAGTTCATATTCAACTTTATTTATCTTAAGGATACAAAACATACAACACTTATAATATTTAAATCTTATAGTCTAGTATAGTTACCTGATTACTTTTAGACTATTATTAAGTGTGGCAAAATATTTGCTTAAAATTCACAACTCAAAATGCAGTATGTAGGCTAGTTACTGTATTCATCTTCTTACAAAGGCCTTATTGATGTTTATAAACCTTTAAAACACAAATTTTGACTCATTCTGATAACATATTTCTATCACGAATGCAAACCTATTGTTTAGAGCTAATCCCTATGTTGGAGGATTATCCAGGGAACTCAACAAATTTAATAAGTGAGCAAGACTCTCTTCAGCATCAGTCTTCCATGAAGGGGGCTTAACTGGACGATTGTAGTAGACGATATATTCAATCAAAAACTCATTATCACAATACTTAACATACACCTTCCTATTGTTTGAGATTGTAGTGTCCACATTATTCGGAGGAATCTTTATAGAGGGATGTCCCCAGACTTCTCTTGATACCAGCACTTTTGCTATGATAAACGCTCTTTGTTCACCTATACAACATATTTGCTTGCTTCAGATTATGAAAATTGTTCATATTTTAAGATCTAATAAACTAGACATTAACTGATATAGTTAAAACCTATCAACTCGCCAGCGGCTCGTGCATAAGGTTTCTCGAGTGCAGCAGAGACTTTGTGTTACATATTATTTTTCCTATGGTTACAATAAAAAATAAAACATTATGGTAATAATAAATTCAGGCAAATTTTTACTATGTTTTTGAAGTGATGTCTGTGTGAATGTGGACAGAGCTACAGACCATACCTGTAGTCCGATTTTGATGAAAATTTGTTATGTAGGTACTAATCCATGTTATCTCCAGGCGATTTCTTTTTTTCAACATTTTGATTTTTTAATGGTGATCTTCCCGTAAATTCCCTTAAAATAACGGAAAAATAAAATTTTCTCAAAAATTGCCCAAACTATTTTGATAAATTAAGTATGTTACTGTCCTTTACATTCTTACAAAATGGTACCAATTCCATTTCCGTAAATATTACGGTTCAAAGGTTATTGTAATTTATGTTATTTTCCGCGTTAAAACCTCTCAAAACCATAAAAAAAATCATATTTTAGGAAAAAAGCCGATTTTGATTAAAGTTATGTTATGGTACTTTTAATTCTGAACAAAATGGTACAAAAACCATTTCCAAAAAAATTATGGTTCAAAAGTTATTTATAACTATAGTAGTTTATAACTTATGTTATTTTTCCATAATAACCCCACAAAAAAAAAAAAAAAAAAAAAATTGGATTTTAGGAAAAAATCCTGATTTGATTAAAATTATTGTGTTATGGTCCTCTTAGTAAAAAAAAAATAGTGCAACCCCCCATAGCTGAAAGTTGTTGCAACTTTTGACATTTTCCCAATAAAATATCATAGTTACTCTATAGTTACTCCCAGGGCCGGTTTAACCCATACGCCAACTACGCGACCGCATATGGCGCCACGAAAAAGTGGCGCCGTGGCACCAACGGAACAAATTTTTTTAAACGTGAACAACGTAATTTTGTTTATTTTTGCTCAGAGTTCAAGTATTCAAAGCACCATAATAAAGGCATTTATTCTGTTTGTACCAACAGCACTTGAAAAATGCGTATATTTGTACAGCACTACAACTCAAGGACTCAATTCCATTTGCAGTTTCGATTTGTAGTGAGCTGACGCTCGGTAGTCGGCAGCGTACAGCGCGGCACCTGTGGGTTTCATTTCACGACTCACTCACTAGCTCAAGATAAGCAAGCGCGCAACGCCACTTGTCACAACAATAAACTCTCCCCTCCCTTCTAACTCTGATCCTAGAGAAGAACATTACGTTGTAATGCACTCTTTTAGTGTCGTATACCGTATCGGTATCGTATTGGCTGTTTTGATGATTCATGATTGTTGATAAGTGAATGATTACGAGTGTTTTAAGTTTAATTTATAATTAGCGCATTAAATAAGAAGAACCCAGATAGCAAGGACCCTTGATTCAAGGTAAACTTTTCCCTACAATTTGCATTCACAATTCAAGGTTGCAAATATTAGGAACATTGTGGCTGGATTCAAGGACAACAAAATACTGCCCTTTTTGAGTTCATAGATTCCGCCCTGAAACAGAGTCAACAAAACAACAGCGCGAATTCCCATGATGCAGTTCGATCAAGCGACGCCAGACGCCAGGATCCAGTCCACCGATCCACCCCTAAACAATCCTAACCTCTTTGTCTTTGTCTTTGTGTGTCTTGTCAGTTTGTCTTTTTGCGACGTTTGTTTCTCGCGTTATTACTATATCAGAGTTTTTAGACATAAAGTATTCATATTGAAGTTAGTTTTTGTCAATTTTCAATTTCTTTGTTCATAGTTAATTCCATAGTGTTCGATTGTAGAAGACTAACTGCAACAAAAGTGCTTGTGAGCCAACGAAACATAAAGGTGAGTCAGCTAATCTTTTCATTGTATCCATAATATTTTTTCCATTCTTATGATAAGATATGTGTGTTAGAATGCTAATCATACTGACATTAGAACCTCAAGTTACAAATGCTCTGAAAATTATCTTACAACAATAAACTGCCAAATTTGGACTAGGATCCAGAATAATTCTAGGCCTGTGCTTGCCCTAGGCCTCATGACTGGTGAATTGTTTTATAGTTGGCCTAGAAAGTATTGTGATCCGTTGGAATATTGTATCTGGAATTGTTCAAGACCTAGTTACTTATTTTTGCCAAATCCGGTGGGCTACAATATTATGAACACACAAGCCAATATGTAACTTAATGATGCAGTTTTTTATCAGCGTAGATTGTCTTAAGTTATCATAGGCCGAAGTTATGAAGTTTCATTTAAGAATGAAGAAATGATTTTCGATGGATTGGATAAATAGACCTAGGCCTATAGAAAAATATTTTAATTTAGCTTAGGCCTATGTCTTAAGTTATAGACTTGGTACTGTAGCCTAGGTCTAAGGGCTTATCCTAGTCCTATGTCCTGATGCTAGGGTTTTTCGGCAAACGTTTAGATGGGTTAAGATTAGCATCTCTCAAAGATTTTAAGTTTTGTACGCCATACCCATTGATTAAACTAAGTAAAGGTACCGTAATGAACTAATTTAAAACAACCTACAAAATGTCACTTGACTGGAGACCTGCCATTTTGGTTTTATGTAGCTGGTAACTTAAAATCATATCCTGGTAACTTGTGCCTATTTAAGTTACTAAAGATGTATATTGCCCATGCTGTAAGTTGTAAAGTTATTGTAACAAGGTTACCTAGGCTGCTGTGTTATTTTTCAAATTAACTAATTAGCTTCAGCGAACACAGATTTAAAACAAGTGGCTTGCCGTTTGAACAAACGTTACAAGATGAGTTGCCATCTTGCTTTGCATCAAAATTTGCAGAATTTAGAACTGTAATTTAGACATTATTATGAATAACTTGGCCTGTGTGCTGCAATTTAACTTACGGTACCGGTATTAACAATTTTGGTAAAATTCTGAAATTTTCTGCTTTAAATAAACCTTACCATTTGTAGGCCTATAGTTTTTAAATTTTATTGATGATTTGTAATTTAAAACAAAAAATATTAATAGCCTAAATCATAACTTAATATTATTAAAACCTTAGAGTAAGAAAGTAAGTAGGTTAAACTTACTAAAACTTTCGTTTGTTGGTCAAACAAAAATTCACTTGGAAGAAAGTTGTTTAAAAAAAAATTAATGCCAGACTTATGGTTTACTTCTTTTTCCATCTTGCTTAATTTAGCCAGAATTTCAGGTTGAACAGAGAGGCAAGACCATTGAACGAGTCTAAACTAAATTTTTTGTACTTGATTCATTTGGTAAATCCCACTGTACACCCCTGAAAACACACACTGACCAATTATGTCTATTCTGTACTTTACTACAGAAGTGAGATTGTCAAAGCTAGTTTGTTAAATACAAATACATGGCATATTCTCTCTAAAAGCTGATTGTTTTGTATTTTTCTTCCAATACTAGCTGTAACCCGCGGGCTTTGCCCCGTTTAACTTCTTAATTTTCAAGATGATCTCGTTCGCATGGCTCAATCACGTCCTGGTTGAAGTTCGTTCGCTACGCTCACTCACCTTTAGATTGGAGCTCGTTCGCTACGCTCACTCACCTTTAGGTTAGAGCTTGTTCGCTGCGCTCACTTGCCTTCAGGTTAGCTCGTTCGCTACGCTAACTCGCCTCCAGGTTGAAGTTCGTTCGCTACGCTCACTCACCTTTTGGTTGCAAATTAGCTGTTTTCATAAATGTAAAAGAAATAATAGTGCTGCACCCTGTTGGTAATCCTTGTAACTTTAATGCTATTAAACATCATAGAACAGAACCAACTTGTTTAATTGAAACAGCTGTTAAGATTCATTAATTCCATTTCTCATAAGGTTAACATGGGAAACTCCAGAGCCACTGGGGCGGAGCCCAGAGGTCAGAGGGTAAAATCCTTTCTTAGTGATCGTCTACTACCCAAAAGGATGATGCCTGCCAAGTTTCAGGTTCCTAGGTCTTATGGTTTCTGAGATTTCGTGATGAGTGAGTGAATGAATGAGTCAGTGGTATTTGAGCTTTATATATATAGATTTGCATAACAAATTCTTTTGTTATTGTTATCTATTATGAGGCGTTTCACTTAAACTGTTTCAGTTGTAGCCAAGAGACTGTTGGCTGAAGCCACTGAATTGAAAGTAAAAAAAACTGCATCCGTGCATGGCTGTGACAAGCCAAATTTAGGGCCAGTACCTAAAAGGTTTGTAGAGCATATTAGTTATAGAACTGTTTATTTCATAAGGTTTACTTTTGTTGTTACAGTAGAACCTCGATAGTTCGACACTCCCTGTAGTTCGACACAGGCCGTGATGACAAGACATGGCATCAGTGGCCGATGACGGGTTCACCAAGGTTAAAAACTAGAGCATTCTTAGTGTTTTCGTGCATGCAAAAACTCAATAGGTAGCCTACTTAAAATATCCCATTAACTTACATTTTTTCTAAGATCCAAAGTGTAAAAAGCATGTGACGTAAATTATGAGGGGCGAATAAGATTGTATTTACTGAGCAGCCTACCCCTAGTACCAGCCACGCTCAAATTTCTTCCCCGGGGTGCTGAGAAGGATTCACGGTTTTGACTGATTAATTATTTTAATTTAATCTAAGGTTCAGAGCTCTAGAAGCGCTCAAAAGATCCTGCAGACGCCCAGGAGGAGAGCAATATCATCCTCGCCTTTGTTAAAATGTTATTGCAAATTTTGCCTAACTTTTAGAATAACTGTAGGACAGACGAGTACTCTACCCTGGCCAATTCGATAAAACTACCTACTTGTTTAAACTGTTGCAACAACAGGTTTTAGAATTCTAATAACAAGTCTCGGGTTTGTTAATTTGGTTTATTAGTATAAGGAACATACAAGGGTGGTTTTTCAAGTAAGAGCCAGTTTCTGCGTATAATTCCATAATTCGCTTAAGTACGCTGCAGCAAGGCTCCTCGCCACTTGCTGGTATCATTTGTGAACAGAATGACACAATTTGCAGCTCTGTAGCTGACATGTACCTACATTTCGCTGTGTGTTTCAACAATTTTTTAGACTTTTTGTCCCCGTACGCTAGGCTGGAGCCCGGAATTGTTTTTCACGTTACTTCAGGCTAGACCTAGGGGTTACGGCATTATCACTTAGTTAAAATCCATTGGTGATTTGGCGGGATTTGAACCCTGGACCCCAGGAACCGGAATGACCGCACTCTAACCACTAGACCTGCTCGCTCCCCAATTTTTTAGACTATTGATAATGTCAATGATAATCAGGGCCGGAGAGAGCCATCATGGGCCCCTGGGCTCAGCGATCCCGGGCCCCCTATTTACTTGATTTAGTGTCCAGCCGTCTCCGTGCCGTTTTGTCACACAAATAACTATATTAATAAATGTTTGCTCACATTTTCAGCTTTAATCACAGTCAAAACAATTCAAGTCAAAAATTACTTAGTGAACTGGAAAACCATGCTGAAATGTTTAACTCAAGCAGATTACATGTACAGAAAAAAATAAAAAAAATTAGATAAAACATACTCCCTTAGTCGATACTTTATGATTTTTTTTTGTTGCAGGAAAAGAGGAGTTATTGGTGCACAGAATAGGAACATCAGGCTGAGGTTATGCGACAGTAAATAATGTATAAGTAAAATGTCACTTAATTTAACTCATGTTCTAATTTTCAAGTTTGTTTTATACTTTATATTTTCATAAAATAAATTTACTATAACCAATGTCACTTGCTACATTTTATTTATACCCCCACAAATAGTGATATTTTGGCTATGTTTGAAGAACTGTTTTGAACTTTTAAACTTTTTGTTGATCACTGAGATGTCTTTTCTAAAGCAGGGTCTGGTGTAATTTGATGAGGCCTTATTAAAAATTAAATGCTCTCACCCTTCACTCACAAGCTTGGCAGAATAGGCTTATTATTTTTAACCTAACTCAGTTATCCTATACAACATTTAAATAAAGTGTTATAGCATCATTTATAGGTTTCTAGCTGCCCCTCCCCTTGGGCTTCACAACAGAATTGAAAAATTTTCTTTGCTACAAACAGTTGTTTTGCATTGGTTTTGCTTAGAATTTTCCTAACAGCGGTTTGGTAGCTAATACAATTAAACAAAAGTTCTGTCAAAAGAAAAATATGTTAACATTGTAATTTTAAAGCCAGTGAGCCAGAGCCCTGATGGAATCTCTCAAAGCTACTTCTTGTACATATTAAGTTAAACCTATTATGGAGGTTAAGTGAAACCTCCATGCCACCAAGTTCTGAGTACATATGCATGGTAGTTTTTGAGGAATAGTGATCAATGAGTGAGTGAGTGGTAACTGTACTATAATATAGATTATAAGGTCAAATTATGTATCCACCCAAAGTTTTCTGCGTAGATTAAAGCTTAAGGTAATGTACCTTGCGTTTAATATTTTAAGGCTTAACTTACTGCCATAAAGCAACCAATATTTTGATGTCCTAATAGATAGCTGTCCCCGCGCTTAGTAGGCATCATTAAAGTTCTTGAGTTCACAAAGACAAAACACCTAGGCTGCTAGGCTATCCACTAGGACATTAAAATATTGGACTACTTTAAGACCGTAAGAATGCCGTAAGTCAAGTAAAATTCCTTGTCAGTCAATCACTTGTTACTGTATGTACTGAGTTGATCATGATTATGCTTTTATTTAACCCGAATTCAACAATATATTTTGATTTCAGCCAAAAGTCTTTACCTTGAATTAACCTTAAATTTTCAGGTTATGAGTCCTGAATTGACCATGATTTTACCTTAATTTAAACATACTTATACCTTAATTCAACCTCAATTCAGCCTTGATTATGCATTACTGCCAGAAACGTTTACCTTGAATCAACCTAAAATTTTCAGGGTTGATTCAGGTTTCACAAGTGTTCAGTAGGACCCTTGAATTAGCCCTGAATTAGGCTTGATGGCTTGATATTTTAAGATTAATTCAGGCTTGCATCTTTGAAAGTTTAACCTTGATTTAATACTGAATCAGGAAAAAATTGCTATCTGGGAAAGTATAAACTGAATGAATGAGTAAAACATCTTGCAAGCGGATACTAAGAAAAAAAATGGCAGAAAAAAATTAACCGTCTGGCACTTATAGAAAGCTTAAGGCGAATTTGGAAGAGGAAGATAAAAAACAAACCAAATCAGTGAGTTGATTTTTGTTGAAATCATCTGGTGGCGAGTCCAGTCAGCCCAAAGAAGTCACGATAGAAGACGGCATTCTAAGTGGCACTGATTCGGGTGTTTGCTTAACTCTGAATAATTCCTAGAAACGGCCCTGGTTACTCCCACTGCTTACCCATGATAAAGGTTGTTCACAAGGTAATGGGAGAAGGATGTGTCAGATTGCTAATACCGTTTATCTGTTATTACCTTAACTGCTATAATCAACCTGATCTACTACGGTAAAAAGAAAAGCATATTATATGTACCAATGTGAAATCTTGGTCTTCTGGTGTTGAATTAGTTAAACTAGAGGCCGACGTAGCAGCTATCCATCTTTGGGGTGAACTACTATTCAACTGAACTACTATTCAGTTGAATTGCTTTTGGGGTCAGTTGAATAGAAGTTCGCCCCGAAGATGGATAGCTGCTACGCATCCGAAACGTCGGCCTCTAGTTTAACTAGTTTAACGACGTGGTCAACACCCGAAGACCAAGATTTGACAATCTGCAGTGACCGTGGAAGCATATCATCTAGATTATACGTACCATTGGAGCGCTTGGAATAGTGGTTGGCGTATTCAGCATTCCCAGAGAAGCTAACTCCTTTCCCAAATCTGTTTCTCTTAACACGTCGCCAGTCTAAGTTGTTTTTAATGATTGAAGGTACATTTAGAGCACTGGTTGAGTGGACAAGGGTCAACTCTTGAACAGAACCATATCTGGATTCGTACTCCATTTTTTTTAGCTCATACATTCCCTTGAGGCAATTGTTATGAACAGTTGTTACTCTGGTTATACAAACCTGAAAAATAATGTCGGATCAAATAACGTTTCAATCTGAAGGTAATTAACATCATAATATAAAATTTTGCTCAAATTAGTAATATTACAAAAATTAATTCACCATAGACCTATTGATAGATGATAGCTCACATAACTAGGTAATCAAATTGGTACAGCCCCATGCAATAAAAAAAACTACTACTAGATTTTATTTAGCCATCTGATAAACCAATATAATAACGAAAGCTGGGCGCAGTGATAGCATTGAAACAAGACCCCGCTGTTGTAATGGGGTCTGGATTGAAAGAGTCAATGCTAAAATGTAAATTATGAAGACCCAATTTTACTTACTTCTGGTAAAGTAGGTAAGATGCTCGATTTTGCAGTTTCTTCTTCATTTGAGCTAGCTTCCTCTTCATACTCGCCATTTGTGTTATTGTTCTTTTTAGATAAATATTCCATCAAAGGATGCATTATGCCTGAAAAGTGTGTAATTAAATACAAATATTTTGAAAAAAGCTTAATTTGTCTATTATTTCCTAACTGTGAGGGTATGGGAATCTAAATTAGTACCATTTTATCATCAATAAGTAGTTTAACACATACCATTTTTAATATTAACTTCGTTCCACTTCTATTTTACTTGATAAGGATTCTATTTTACTTGATTAAAAATTTGTTTTTTTTCTAAGGGTAACAATAATCAACTTTGTTGCAACTTTTTACAAGTTAATTCAATGGTACACTTAAGTGGTGTCCAGAACAAAGTGTCGTCCCTGTCCGCTCTTCTTTACCCCCTCAGCATTACGTACTAGGAAGACCCGTGGGCTGCTGCTGTGGTACTGCTGTACCAAAATGCTACCTGGGCATTCGACATTCAGGCTCTTCCTTGTTCGTTACAAGTACATTTCCGCCCCACCATTACCAGAGCTAAAAGTGCACGATTGTCCCATAAGCTTGTATCCTTTGTATAACTTATTACTTCTATGGTTCTATGTAAGGTACCAGTATGATAAAAAAATCTTGTGGAATCTTTATTTGCGAACATGATTACAATTTCAATTTTAATGATAAATTGGCAGATTTCTTGGGTCATATAAATAAAACCGCTGTGGGAATTGTCCAACGTACAGTATCCCACGATATGTGTCTTTAAGGTTTTTTGTGCATGAATGAATCTTAGAGAGATTTTAATAAAACAAGTAGTTGATTTGGATGTTAACTTATTTAAATAGACTAGCAGTTATTCAACCTGTTTTTGAATTTTTTGTATGAATTAACTTAATATTGAAATTTGGGCACTTCTGCACCCTTGCGGCAGTAAACCCTAGTATAAACTACAGCAATTTTTCTAATTTGACATAACAATTAATTACAAAATAATTAATTTTAGAATTACAAAATTTCAATTGCATGACATATTGATTAAATGGATTTCAAAAAGGCCAACTGGATGGGTTTTAGGGAGATCATTGACAGAAAAATCGCCAATATCCCTCCACAACCTGATATGTATGACTCCTTCGTCAAGCTTGTCTAGCAGGTTTAGAGAAAAATGATACCTAGAGGCTGTCGAACCCATTACATCGCAGGACTCTCTGAAGAGGTAAAGCCACTGCTACAACGATACCAAGGTCTCTTTGACAATGATCCCTTTGCTGAGGACACACTTCTAGCAGGTGAAGAGCTTATGTCAGTCATTGCCGAAAATCGCAAAACTAAGTGGTGTGATCTTGTGGAGAGTTTAGATATGCAGGTGAACAGCAGACGGGCCTGGAAGTTCCTCAAGAACATAAATGGAGATGTTACAAAACCAAAAGACAACTTTACAACAGTTACTGCCGATCAAGTCGCTACCAACCTTCTTTTAAATGGCAAAACTTATGGAAGGAATACCGGAGCCTGTTGTGCGTGATGTGGCAAGTGAGAATCACTTACTGGAAGAACCATTCACCATGTCCGAGCTAACTGCAGTCATTACCAGCCAGGTATGACTTGCTAACTTTCGACCTGTTTCTCTCTTATGCCACACATATAAAATCTTAGAACGTCTGATACTCAATCGATTCAATGTTCTGGAACAAAAGATCATTCCACAACATTCAAGTTTTCAATCAGGCAAGTCTTGTTGTGGCCAAGTTTTAAACCTGACCCAGCACATTGAGGATGGGTTTGAGAGAAAAAAGCTCACGGGTGTAGTTTTTTTTTATTTAACAGCTGCCTACGATACCGTTAACCATCAAAGACTCTTGAGAAAAGTGTACAGCATTACCAAAGACTATCAGCTGACTTCAATGATTGGCACTTTTCTTCATAACAGGCGGTTTTTTGTGTCTCTTCAAGGCAAGAAAAGTAGGTGGAGGTATCAAAGAAATGGATTGCCTCAGCGTAGCGTCTTAGCCCCAGCTCTTTATAAAATATACACTAACAACCAACCATTGCCAAATGTTACATGTCAGTATATATATGCCGATGATACGGCGGTGGCGGCACAAGGTAGGAGTTTTGAAGAGTTGGAACAGAAGCTGACTATTCGACTCTAAATGAGCTTTTCCAGTACTATGACGCAAATCACCTCAAGCCAAACCCTGCTAAGACCCAAGTTTGTGCCTTTCACCTAAACAATAGAGAAGCAGGCCGTGAGTTGAATGTGACGTGGCGGGGAGACCGTCTTGAGCATTTTGTCCTACACCCAAATATCTTGGTGTCATACTGGACCGCACACTGACATTTGTGAACTGTATTGCGACAAGGGGTAAAGTGTCAGTGAGGAATAATATCATCAGGAAGCTCACCAGCAGATGCTGGGGTGCTAACCCTAATGTCCTCAGAACCTCAGCTTTAGCGCTCAGTGTGTCGGCTGCGGAGTAGGCCTACGCTGCACAAGTATGCAATGCATCGTCACATGCAAAAAAGGTTGACATTGCAGTCAATGACATAACTCGGATTGTAACTGGGTGTTTGAAGCCAACCCCAGTGCACAAACTCTATTCTATCATAGGGATCGCCCCTCCATCAATCCGACGTGATGTCGCTGCTGACGTAGAAAGGACTAAGCAAGAGACTGACCCTCGTCACCCATTACACAGCCACCAACCTGCAGAGTGACGGCTTCGGTCCAGAAAGAGCTTTTTATCAAGGACACAAGTCATGGATGGATCACTCTCAAGCAATCGGGTGGCAAGATGGGAGGTCACGTTGACTAACCCTCCCATACCAGCCAGGGAGGAACTGGCTCCTGGTGGAGGCCTGCATTACACGGTGTGGAAGACCCTAAATCGAATCAGGGTCGAGGTACCAAAATGCAAGAGAAATGGAGTCTCTTACCAGATGAAGAAAACATCTTGTGTGCGTGTGGTGCTGTTCAAGATCCTGGCCATCTGCTGATCTGTACATGCCTAGACCAGTCTTGCACATTAGATGATCTTTTACAAGCGAATGACAAAGCCATATCGGTAGCTAATTTTTGGAAAAGCGAATAAGTCTGATTTGGACACGGAAAGTAAGTAAGTAATGGATTTAGCCTAAAGCAAGTCAAATAATAGGTGGAAAAAATTTACAAAACCCAAAACTTACCCTAAACACAATTTCTGAAGTGTTAATTAGGCCTAAAAAAACTAAATCCTTACTTATACCGCTAATGGCTATAAATTATCTTTAAATCTGAACACTTAAAATCATTGTGGTATTGTCACATAATGGCACTAACTTGTAGGCTACTTTATGGCCATATGCTAATGTCTATCTTAAGTTTAATATTAAAGGTGAAAAGTGTCCTAGCTAAAATACAAATAGGCCTAGGCCTAGCTGTAGAACTATGAAAATATCTCAAATAAAATGTTGAGATTTTGAAGTAATATTTTGGTGAAAACTGTGACTTCTCTGTTCTGTAATTTTAATATGCCTTATCAGGACCCCTTTGCCTGATATATGTCCAAGTTGAAAGTATGGAAAGTACTTAATAGAAGCTAATTCAATAGTGCTATGGTTAAGAATATTGATTAATAGATACCGGTAGTCTAAAAATTAACCCTTGACAAATAATAGAAACGTTTTGAGATTCCTGCAGCAGGTAACTATCAATAGGCTATACCTAGATCATAGACTGTAGAACCTACTTTAATTCTACAAATTAACAACCTAACTTACAAGTTACAACTAGGATTTACTTTATATTCAAGTAGAACAAATCAAACCAAAGGGAAGTCAGGCCAACAAACAGGAAACTATTATAATTTTATTCACGTAGGCCTAATGCACAAATGAGTGCTTCCGATTCCCCTTATCGTACGGTGTCAAAACCCTGTTTCACTTGTCAGTCGATCGTAGAAAATTTCAAACAATTAGGCACCGCAATCGCTATACCGGGGCGCCGTCTTCTCCCTCCCTCACCACGCTGACTAGCGATAGCGACTGAGTGAGAGTGAGTGAGACTGACTGAGAGAGAGAGACTGAGACTACGGACTGACTGACTAACTAAACACAAACACTACGCAGCAGAACGACAGAATTGTAAGCAGAAGAAGAGAAAAAGAACACTCTAGCATAGATTAAATAAACACCAAATAATTGGTGTTTTTTTATTCTATGATTCTACCTTCGTAGTGTCAACAGCTATAGACTCAATTCTCATAAAACAATAAATATTGTGCCAATGTGTAGTGATGCATTCCACTATCATTGACTACGGACTATGACTATTTGACTATGGATACTATATGTGGAATTTTCATCTGTTTTCAAACAAAAGCATAATATTGAGCATACTCACTCATAGCAATTAAGCTGTTGAGATGAACTAAAAACAATTCAATGATTTTATGTTCATTTTGTTTTATGTAGCGGCAAGCGGCAAAAATGGCTTATAGCACTGATTAGTGATTACAAACCAAATACATTTGGATACTAAAAAAACATAATCATGTAGAGTTCATAGATTAAACATACTGAGACATATGTAAACAAGTTGTGTCAAATGTTTTATCTAAATAGATAATAGATGGGCCACGCTGACTGACGCATAGTCCATTAATTGTTAAAAAAAACATTGTCTAAATATAAAAATATATAATTTATTTGGTCTCTGTGATAGTTTATGTGACATAATTATAATAGATGTTATAGAAAGTACATTTCAGTTTGGCCCGATTATAAGGCAGGAGTATTTGACTGAAATCAGTAATTAACCTCATCAAACTCTCTCGAAGACTCAATTCAACTGCTTGATAATTTTCATTATATAACTAGAGTACAAATAGCTACAACCATGACAGATTAGACATAGCCTACTCTCCCACTTCGCAGTCAATTCTTCATTGAACAGTGAAATTGAATGTCTATAGTTATATACTTTATAGTTAAAGGTACCGGTACTGGTACGCTACTACAACCTTTGGTTTTTTATTCAAATTTAAAACTATTTTTCATCCAAACATATAGTCATTCATTTATCCTTGTCCTCTTATTATCCGCGTTTACATCTAAGAGTAAAAGCACCTCATGTAAAAGTTGTAGTTAAAGATGTTAAGTGTAAAATGTTTGTCGATATCAGTGCACTCAAACTTAGCCAACACAAATACACGTTGAAATAGATTTCTGATTTACAATAGTATAAAAATTCAATTTGCTCAGTTCAAAGTCGGTTGATTGTATCTGTGCTTATCCAACCAAGTATTCATCGTTATGTAAGATAATTAAATGTTACGGAAGATATGTAATCAATTGTCATATTTGAAATAATGTTTCATGAGTTCATGACCATTGATAGACTTCCGTAATGGAAACATTTGAAGCCAAGAAAATACATGAAGTTCAGGACCATACTAGCATAGATAAAACATAGTTGCTAAGGGACTATGTTTTATCTATGATACTAGGTATATAATCAATGACTTACTCCAAAAAAAGGAGTTTGTTCACGACAATCCATCTTTAACGTTTTATAGTGTTGCATGGCAATCTGGAGCAGCCTTGTTTGTAAACAATCTCCTTCCAAGGGGGTTGATTGCCGATTGGACGAAAATTTAAAACTGGCTGGACCGCGAATCATGACGTTTTAAACCACTTTACGTCAAGCAACTACGACTTAAGTTTGAAGGTTATGAAACTATGAAAACAATATTATATTGCACTTACCTAAAACTGGAGGTAATTTGTGTACTTGTGTGGAAACCTGTGAACGGAAATATACTGTAACGGTATATGTGATAGGTGAGTGCGATGCAAATCGGTCCTTCTCTCACAAGGTTGACTAAAACGAATGAAAGTAAGCTAGGTTAGCCTAGGTTATTGTTTGCATGTCCCTCTTAAGAGTCTTAAATTCTTTGCCAGTTCAATTGAACTGGCTTTAAGGCCTGATAACAATATTTTATTTTTTCAGGTCGAGTAGATCTCAACAAGACACACAATGGCTGACGATGAGGTAAGATGAGTATCACGTATCACAAATTAAACTATAGGCTAGTTTATGTGAGGATTTGTTTCTAGAGGAAGATAGGTAAGTTCTTGTTCTCCTCGTCCTCTACTTTTTTGAGTAAATGCAAAAAATGTCCATGCTAATGCTTTACTCTCATTGTATTAATTTGTTGATGATGTATAAAGTTAAAATGTTGATTAGGCTAGATAATATTACCTATTCTTTTAAACATATCAGGTTTGGATAGCTACCTAGGAACGCTGCAATACTATCTATACCAGAAGATATCAATATTTTTATTTCGATACCTAACAGGCCTTAAACTTGAAACTTTATAATTTTAATATAACTTGAGCTGTAATTTTTGAAGAAAATATTGATTTCTTGAGTGGTGGATTTTGGATTGATTATGAGTTATCTGAAAGTAAGCTAGCCTAGGCTTAAGTTATCAGTAGGTCCACCATCATGTATAAAATTAAGTTATGTCGGTAGCCTATATACAAATCATTATGTTAGGTACCAAACCGACCATCTGATCCCCACAATTCTGTAGACATTGTTATATGTAGGCCTAAATGGGAAAGTCCCTGCTCTTCCCGTTTTCCAATAAAGTTACCTAGAGGCCCCAGGCTTTCAAGTCACTAAGCTTCGTTTCAATTTTTAATATTATTTTTTGCTTTACCGGTATATTATTACACGGGTGATTAACACAAATTAAGAAGAACTCATAAAACAGTGTGGATATGTATTCTATTTATTAACTTAATTTAATTCAGAAAAAATATGACAAATTCTACTACTGTACTAGGCCTATTGGTGATACAAGCCATTTTTGTGCCACTTTAAGGAGTTATTTTGGTGTAGTTTTAGGCTCATAATCCAAACATGGGTAGCCTAATTCTGCTGGCTCTTTTTTAGTGTTATCCCCATTAAATTGAAAAAGATGTTTTATTTGTATCAATAAATTCTTTTCTCTCTTTAACTAAGCCGTTTCACCAGCCATTAAGTTTTTGAACAATTTGTTAAGCCTATTATAAACTAATTTTTAATAGGCCCTACCTCTTAGTAACCTACATAAGTTCCAATAGGCTATATATTTTTAATTTTCTTCATATAATTTATCTACTTGCTTTCATTTTTCATAATTAGTCTATCTAAATATTTTTTCAATTACAAGAAACAAGATTATATTTGTTATACACTTACCTCTATTTGTACTGTGATAGAAGTCAAGCACTGTATAATGACTAATGAGTCAGTCGTATATTGAGTCTAGGTGGTTCTAGACCTTGCTAATCTGGTGAAGGTCACGAGTCACTTAAGTTGCAGGCACTCTTTATTAAATGATCATACGACACCTATCACCTATCTATTTAACACTTTTATCACCAAGTTTACTAAGCACTAAGTCTGGAATCTTAAATACAGTACGTTAAAAAAAGTTGTTTTTAATTTTATCTGATATAAGATTGGGCATGTTTCTACATGAAAAGTTGGTTACTGTTTTATGCATCACTCAATAGTATAAACAGTCTTTTTTAAGGAAACAAATCTGTTATTGCCTTTACTTTGAAACATTTGGGTTACTAATAGTGAAGAAGTGGGTGGGAGGGGGTACGCATGCTAGTGTTCCGGTAGGAACCGTACATTAAATTCAATGTCAACATTAAATCACAGACAATATAATACTTTAATGTTTCCATTGTACTTTTTTTAATGGTTTCCATTGTCTGTGATTAAATATTATCAGAGTAGGAACTCTGTGTTTAAAACAAGAGTACAGTACATTGATAAGAACTTTTTTTGCAAACCAATAATGAGCATTCTTGCACTGGGAAGCTGACAAACTTTGGCCACTAAATGATTTTACCTATAAAGAGTTAAAAAATATTAAATTTAAGCTTAGAATTTACCATTTTCTATACTTGGGAAGTTTGGTATAAGTGTACTACAAAATTGTACACAAAAATGTATAGCAAAGATTTATTGTCATTTCCATCGGTGTTTCACAAAAACCCTTCAAATAATAAAAGAAACCCCTGAAACTATGGTGAATAATAAATTTGAAAGCAAAATCATCTCTGTTATCGTCCTACAATGTGTCCAGATTGTCATAAAATTCATAAAATATTATGTTCTATGGTGTTGTAAACTATTTAAATCAGATAAACTTTTAGGCTTCAATTTGGATTCAAAATTAAATTGGTCATCAGATATACAATCTGTTTTTAAAACAGTACCGGTATTAAAAAAAAAAATAAACTGTATGACTGGATGGTTAAAAATCCTTTTTACAAAATTTATGATTTTATAGACCTAAGTTGTGAAATAAATATTTGATTTTGAAGAGTAAGTTAAAATAAAGCTTTGGTTTTCATGTAAGTGGCTATTTAAATTTTAGATATATATTGTACTGTAAACACTGAATCACCTTGTAACTATGTACCTATAACAAATGACGTACGTCCTATTTCTTTTATAAAGATCAATGAAAATAAATATTTTTTTACTCTTACTCTTTTCTCTGTTGAAATCCAATACCCTTACACACAAAAAACTTGCTAAAATTAAAATAATCCCAGACTGAATTTTCAACATGGGCATTTAGCTTCTTATCAGGTTTTTATTCATTGATGAAACCGATCACTCTATGATTGTTAGACGACCAGACTACAACCACTCAGAGATCCAGCTATGCCACTTTCTGCAACAAATATTTCAAATTACCAGTTTTTGTCACCTTAATACTGTACATATATAATTGCATTGTTTTTGTCAGCATGAGGGATGTGGGTAGGATTATTTCGTTCAAATTCTTCATCAGATTTTTGTCTGTACAGTTGCTGCTGAGAAAGAAAGTCGCTGAGGAATTGAAGAAGAACAGGAAAGCAAGGCTGCTGAGAGGAGAAGAATCATCGAGGAACCGAATAGTGGCAGACCGAAGAACTTGGACGACGCCAATGAAGGTATAAGACGAGAAATATAACTTTGGAATTCCCACTAGACTAGTCAAGTTGTGTTATGACTATTTGGTTTTACAGACATGATAGATAAAACTTAGTGGATTTAAATAATTCTACACGAGATTGACACACATAATTAAGGTTTGTTGATCGTAATGTTGGATCATCGTATGGACTGCAAAATTAGATTTGAACTATATTAATTTCATAATAAGCAAATTGTGGTAGGATTAATCTATATATTAATTTGAAACTGTTTTTCTTTGTGACAGCTAATTTGAGAGAACGGCTGGGCGTAGAAACTCGGTGGGGGTCTCTAACGAAAGGTCTTGGTCTGTAGATGAGCCATCAAAAGAGAAACGTGGTAAATTCCCTTGGGGCTCTGCCCCAGTGGCCTTTAAATTCCCATCCCATGTTATTCTTATGGAGGAAAAACGGGTTTTTGTCACAACTAATTTCAGAGAACGGCTGGGCGTAGAAACTTGGTAGGGGTCTCTAAAGAAAGGTCATGGTCTGTAGATGAGCCATCAAAAGATAAACGAGGTAAATTCCCTTGGGGCTCTGCCCTAGAGGCCTTTAAAGTCCCCTCAGCAGATTTGTTAATAATATGACCACGAGTATAATTTTACACTACTTTTAATGAACCAGCTGTTAATTTGAAAATTGTATTTCAAAAGTCAAGTGTTATGAGCATTTACTGAAACTGTCAAAATTACTGTAAATGTTTACATTATTATTTATGATTTTAAATTTGATTCTTCACTGCATCGCAAGCTTTTTATAGTTTGAACAAAATGATGAATTTATGATATGTTTTAAATTTTTTGTTCAAAAATCTATGCTTTAATGCACTTTAAAAAAATTATTATAAAATCATTTGGATTTAACAATTTCAAAGGAACAGATAACTATTCCTTCGGGTTAGCTTATATTTATTGTAGGGGTTTGCACTTGCCTTTTTGGTCTACTTTCAATAATCATTGGTAGATGAGTATATTGAGGATGTGACCTGTGTTCCAGTTTTGGAATAGATTAAGCAGGGAGTAGGTTTAATCTATGGTTTGGTGCAGTAGGTGAGTTAATTCATGTATTAAAAAAGGGGGGAAGGGTTTTTACTTTGATGTACATATAGCTAGGTCGAACAATGTAAACAATCTAAACCTCACTACATTCAAAACATTTGGAAATACAACAGTGCCATCACATCTCATCTCATTTGCATAATTTGTTGCCAACCAAGGCAGACTAGGTTATGGATGTGTTTCAGCAAATGTTCCAAGATTTGTGGTCAAATTCACTACAATTATGGTCTCATCCCATCCCATCCTTAAAATGCACAACTTTATATGATTGATACGGCCAAGGCAAAACTACGCCAGAAGTTAATCAATTAGCAAATAAGTACAGGATGATTAAATACATTGGTCGAGGTGGCAGGAGAAGGAAACAAAATTGCTTGGATCGAAGTAGGAATGTTTATGCCTTCTGGAGAATCAGATATTTTTATCAAATACAAAAAACTGATTTAATATGCTGATGAAATTCTGTATTTTATGACCAAAGATGGTGATTCACTTATGCAATCCAAATACGGTCTGAATGATTTTCCTAAAGCAGATGTAACCAGTTATTAGTAATATAGACTCTTTCCGTAAGATGACAGGCCAATTATTTGAAATCCTTTTCCCATATAGTAAAAGTGGCTTTAACATGAACAAAACTTATGAACAAGAAACAATTATAAGACTCCTAAAAAACCTTTTGGGCCTTTGGGCAACCTAAAGCCAACCATGTTTTTGAAGGTACTTACACAATCTCATATTCATTATTATGCTTATCCTATCTTAATTTAATTAACTAAGATTTTCACTCTATTATCGCAGATAGCTAAATTTACTTAAAACCTCAAGAGTAACCGTCGATTTCGACGGGTTTCCCCTAGTGTAGTTTATTTTGTATAAACTTACTTTAGGTTTCTTAAAATATATTTTAATTTAGTATGCCCAGAAAAGATTCATGTAGAAAACTTGGTGTAAAAAAGATTAACTGATGGGTATATAAAGCTACAGTCCCAATTAGCCTATTTATTTGATAAAAATTTTTATTAAAGGGAGAATAATCTCGTGTTTGAATGCTGGAGTAGAACTATAACCCAGTCAGTAGCAAGAGATTCTTTGATACCACAGTGACAACGTGGGAGGTTCACTTCCCTGTTGTACCATAAACTTTTCTCAGATATGTTCATTTTTTTCTTTACATAATTTGTTTAATAAGCTGTACATTGGCTCATAGCCGTGTGTGCAGGCAACTGCAAAGTTCAAAGGAGTCCTATTTCGGATAAAAGAAAACAAGTTTAAGACTGCATCTATTCATACACTTAAGTCATACAGATTTGATGTTACAAACCAATGTTACCAATATTACAAAAAACACTTATGACTGCTTGCTAATAGTGGGGCTGAAGACAATCTGCCAAGAGTACTACCTACAATACGATGGTCCTTCTGGAACCCACCAAAATATATATTGAGTTCAAGGTGAAGCGCCGAGACTTAGAGGTGCGGTTGTAGACGCTGGAGCACACTTGTACATAACTCGACAGCGTACGCTTGATTGAGAGCTTCTGTATTCTGTCGTAATAATGTAACTTCACTCAGATTTACAGGGAAATAATGTTGACGGTGAAGTAAACAGCACATTTATGGATCAGCTGTGGCCATTTTTTAAGAACATAGTTGAATAAAAAAGTGTGCTACATTTTGAAATTCCATTTTCTTTACTGAGTTAGTTGAAATTACTTAAAAGATACTTTAGTTTATCAAGCGGTCCTTTCAATTTGACTTGTATGAAAAGTTTACGTATTCTACAATCAGTAATTTGCAAGCAAACTCTGTCAGTGGCCCAATTTAACTACTGTACAGTAACAGTACAATAAATAAGTTTACAGAAACTCAATAAATTATAATGATCGGTCCTTTTAGAAATACCGTTTGAATAAGTGTGTCAAAACAATCCTTTTATTAACTTAAGTTCGAGTCACTAGTAGGCTATACTGTCTTTATTTTAAATAAAAAAATTAATTTTTTCCATATTACAGTAGAGTATCGACATTTGCACTTGAAAATTTCATTAATTAATATTTTACCGTATAAACATATTTACGAAGATTATAGAGACAAATAAATGCTAGCGTATTTTGTTGTATATTTCATCGATAAAGCGACTCTTTTCGACCCGAGCTCAAGTTTTATATGATCGAGGCGAAGCTGAGGTCGGAAAATGAGCGAGGGCTGAAAAGACACACTTTACCCGTGTGATGAACTATATTTTCGTAATTATTGCACCATTATTTTTATGTTATAAAGTAAAATAGGTTTCATTTAAAGAGGTGCTCTCTCAAATCCACTTCTAATCTTTTTTCTTTTTAATTTGCTAATGGAAACAAGCAGCAGTTGTAAGTGATTCAATCGTTTTGTCTATTACGATTGTGTTAGTGTAGCCTACATTATACCATAGACTAATTTTATCTATGATTATACATACTATCAATATGTCAAACAATTAACAATAAGGCAACAATAAGATATAATCAAATTAACAATCGATATATACTTTCGATACATGCGATTTTTTACAATCGAAATTCACAACTGAGTTAACAACAGCTGATTTTTTCTCCCTAGAAAGTAAAACTGTTGGATATTATTAAAAAATATATGTTATGACTAAACGAAAGGTTCGACTGTCTAAAATGATTGACAATGCAACTGTCTAAAATTTAGCTTGGTAAATTGGTAAGCAGTTACGATTATTGTTTTAAAAGGAATATTGGTAATACATTAACAAGAAAATATGATATAATTATTAAAAACATAAAAAGGTGAGAGTATCCAGGGTCTGGCTTGGAACTGCTGCGACTCACAATTCAGTCAAGAGCCACATGTGAACGAGCAGCGTGATGCTGCGGAATTATTACGGAGGGAGACCGGGCGCATCTCCCTGAGTAATCGCCTAAGCAGAAAATACATCACGAGCTTGCGGCTCTTAAGCTGTAATTGAATTCAGTTGTAATTGAACACAACGAGTATGCCCAGGCAGACTAGGAACCAAACACCCGGCCTCCAAGTAGCTGGATTACAGGACTACGCCACGAGTCCCGGCCGGCAGTCAGTTAAGTTGGGTTATCAGTTGAGTTGAGTAGTTGCAGCGATGGCTACCCAGAGCGTACTAGTCGGCGAGGAACAGTTCCACTCGAGACTGTTCCATATTATGATAATAGTCTCAGATACCTGTTCCATTGAACTGTTTGTTACAACCTGGTGGTGTTCAGGGTATCGAAAACTGAAAACTTCGTTTGCATTTTAATTTTAAAGTAAAGTTGCATGGTTTATTAACATACAGCGTTAGGTTCGAGCGTTATGACATTGACTATGGTATATTCAATGGTTATGATCATAAACTCAATGTCAGTGTTGTAGTCATCGATGTATACTATGACTATGAATGCATGAATCAACCTACGATGAATACATCGATGGTTGCAGTATAGACACAACACAATATGTTATAGTATGGAACTAAACCTTTTTCTGACACTGTTCTGTTATTTCTTTTTTATACTCACAACTCTGTAGTTTCAGCTTTCGCTACCAGGAGGACAGAGCGAGACAACAAATGACTGTCATCAGACAGTTCCAATTGTAACCACCAGGAGCGCATGGTATCAAAACAATTCCGGGATTAATTCATTTACGATACTTGCACTCTTCAGTACTGGTTCTATCTTATTTTAGAAACAAATTTCAAGTCGTATTTGTACAGTATCAGTGGATCGCCATCTTTGATGGTGAAAAATACATAAATTTTAAGTGGGAGGTAGATTAAATGAGTTTTTCTCATTTGAAAAAGTATATCTTATTTTCCCTCCGTCACGAATTCCTATCTCTCTAACGACTTTTCAGACGCCCTTAGTTTTGACGCAAAGAATCGCCTTACGTAATTAAATATACATGCTTGCCTATTAATATAGATAGATAGATATGGAAACTGCTGTTAATTCGTTCAAATATACTTTGTTATTTTTATAGGTCCCTACCTGCAATGCCACTCAATTACTTCTTGAGCCAACAAAGAAATGTATTTTTGTTACTTTTTACCAAATTGTACACAATTCATATAAATATGTCAGAATCACAATATACAAATTAAAAATTAAACTTCTTTACAATGTTTCATTATTTACATAAGGTTTTGAGTTTGTTATTGTATGCGACAATGTATCTCACATTGAAGGCGTTCAAATATCTGCCGTCTAATACAATAATAATATTAATACAATTTTTGTTTTAAACATGCCGACTTTCTATGTTTTAAACGTTAAAGACATGTTTTGTAGTATTCAAACCACTAAAGCGTACAAAAGGAGACTTAAAGTTCAATAGTGTATCATACGGTTGGAAATCTTATTAATTAACAGTTTTTATCGCATTTGGCAACCTTAATATACAGTGTGTATAGAAATTCAGTGGACCAACGTGTTTTAAATGTTTATCATACACCTTAATTTTTATTGTTGTACCTATTTACAATGGAGTGTTTACTATTGATCCTCCATCGTTGTCTATAATTCTTAATCAAAAGTTTAAAATAGAACATGAAAATTACATTAATTAGCCTTCTCATGTTGGGGCAAGGTCATATTTTATCATAAAATGATTCCACTATATTAATAGAAATCCTCAAATTGCACAAAGCATTTGAATTGTGAGTCCTAAAAAATTGCATAGGAAATTGGCTTGACCCCCTGAAAAAATCCTAAAGGAAAAATCACTAAACCATAATGCATAAATCAACTTGCCCTCAAAATAATTCTGAATGATTAATTTTTTATCATAGTTGAAGTACCTGTTACGAAATAGTGTAAATAAATTAATCAATAAGTCAACATGGACTAAAATAATCAGTACTTTAAGAAAGATTACCTGATATTATCGAGGACGCCACTTAGAAAGGTGTCAAAAGGGTAGACCGGGATTGCGCCAGATATGAGATGGTTAAAAAGGATGGCACGCACCGGGGTTGGCGTACGGTGGGGGGGGGGGGGTTATTCGGGCGTATACCATTATGTCAATAATTCAAAATTACAAAAAATTACAACGACTATAGAGACAACGATACAAATAAGCTTATTGCAAGTGCATTTTTAAAGAGATTTTTATCATTCAGGGGCGTCGCACGAAAAAAATATTGGGGGGGGGGGAAACACTTTATTTATTTTTCCATATTTTATACGGATTTCTCAATAATATTGCTTGAATTTCCCAGACATATTACTCAGATTTCCCAACTAATAAATATTCAGCTTTAACAATGAGAAGAATATTTTACCTTTACCATGGCTCAGAAACTTTTTTAAAATCCTTAAATTTACTGTTTACTACGGATACGTTACGTAACGTACCATAGTTATACAATTTATGAAAATTCCAACACTTTTTACATTAACTATTAGTTTATACATAAGGGTCGATGTCTGTTTAGTTTGAAAATAAACAGTTAATTAAAATAATCAGTTTATTTAATATTTGAAAATCGACGGTTTCAATCTTCTCAAAATCCCAACTCATGCCTTCCAATACCCTAATATCCCCAACGTTGACACTTTTCAAATATAATTGTGGAGGGAGGGTGGCTCCCCTCCTACCCACCCCCTTGGGCACAAGTGGAGACATGTTTGAATCAGAATTGAATTGTTAGGGGATGAGGTAAGAAAAATACACCTAGAAAAAGATACTGATCAATCCTCGAAGAAACTTTGTGGGGCAAAAACATTGAAGAAAATATGATATAATTAAAAGCATTTCATGAAAAAAGAAAGGTGAAAATATCGAATGTTTGGCTTGTGAACACTTTGTAAGTTACGGAGTGTTGTTCTCAAAGGATAAGTAAATAGGGTAAAATTAAAGAATATAAAAAGGTGAGAGTATCCAGGGTTTGGCTTGGAAACGTTGGAAATCGCAATTTCGCTTAAGCTCCTCACGCCACGAGATAAGCAGGACCACCTATCCGAGGTATGCGGTTCATAAGCTGTAATTGAAATGTTACAACGAGCATGCCCAGGCAGACCAGGAACCAAACACCCGGCCTCCAAGTAGCTGGATTACAGGACTACGCCACGAGTCCCGGCCGGTAGTCAAACGTTAGGTAAAAACTTTGAGTTGAAGAGAGAAGAGTTGCAGAAATGGCCACCCAGAGCGTACTAGTCAGTGAGGAACACTATGATCTCAGATAGTTTTAGTGTATACTATTTAGGTTCGAGCGTCATGACATTTACTATATAGTCAATAGTTATGATCACGAACTCTATGTTGTTTAGGAGGTTGTTTGTACAGAAGGCAGTATCGCTAGACTGTATTTAGTGTATTATTATGGAACGAAACCGGTTTCTGAGACTGTTCTGTTTCACATCTCCGACGATTTAGTTTCAGCTTTCGCTACCAGGAGAACAGAACGAGACAACAATGACTGTCATCACACAGTTCCAATGCTTACCACCAGGAGCGCATGGTATCACAACAGTTCGGACAAAGGTGATTATCATTATCGTAGATCAAACTACAGTCTTGTCATAGGTTTGCTGTGGCGGGGGTATCATCGTATTAGTTAGTTTAAACGGTTTTAAAATAAGTAAATAACCAAAAAGAAAATAAAAACGCCCTCTACATAGACTCTAGGTGGAACTTAAAATAGTAGTAGGCCCTGTAATTGTAGACCTGTACAACCGTATCGACAATAAATCTACAAGGAAATTTGTTTTACTTTCAGATTTTAAAATAAAATAAAAAATCTATTTTTACTTCCCAAATCCGTTACCTAGAACGGACGACTTGATTTCCGTTACTGATAGACAACCGATCATTTACTTTTCATTTTTGATTTTACTAAGACGTCACTTTTTTGCACCATTTCAAGAAATTTTAAGGGGGAACCGGAGTTTTGCCAACGGGTGTCAGGTAGATGGGGGGGATGCCTTCGGCCACCTCTTGGTGCGGAGATTTGCCAACGGTGGTGGTGGGAGAAAGAGTGTGACGGAGGGAGGGAGAGCGATTGTCACTTGTCAGGGTTGTCTACGCTTGGCAGTTAAGTTATGCGCTTGTCGCAGTGGGTTAGGTTAGGTTAGGTTAGGTTAGGTTAGGTTAAAAATTCAATACATTTCCTTTCACAGTCAGAGATGCATAACTCCATTACTTTGAATACAGTCAGCATCCTGCCTGGTTTGTCCACCCCTAGCGGAAGCCACTCTCACGGTCACGTGTAATCGCTCTCGCTCAACCCACAACCGTTGGCAAAACTCCGCAGTATGTGGAATTCATGGATGGGGACCCTTTCTACCTGATACCCGTTGGCAAAACTCCTACACTCATTTTAAGGCAATTAAAATAAAACACATACAAGTCCATTATTATTTAGTTTCCACAATCTTCAAAACAAATTGGTCCTTCGGGCCAACCCTAATTAGCTAATTCATGTTATACTTTATACTTTATACTTTCTTATGAAATGGCGACCATACTATGTAGGTATTTTAAGCCAAGTATGAATGGAGATGAGTGTAGGATGAGTGGCGCGATCTTGTAGTCTTGTTAGTGACTAAGGCCGACATTCCTTAGACACAGCTGTTAATTAATAGCCCAAACAGCTAATGGCAACTAAGGGACCTACAGTTTAAAGTGGAATCCGAACCACATTTTTTCCTTGGTATATACGAATTGGTCTAATTATCAGGATAGTACTGCGGATAGTAGTAGTACTCACTAGTGCGGACGTTAATCCACACCAGGGAGTATCCCATCCACAGTGCATGCCTATAAATATCCACAATCCGTGACCTCCAAGTAGCTGGATTACAGGACGACGCCACCCGTCCCAGTCAGTGTTTGAGTTTATTGGTGATCGAAATATCTGGCATACCTGTACTTATACTGAATTATTGTGGTATGTCGAGGAACATTGTTTTAGGTATGATTCGCTTTCTTTGCCCCGTGTTAAACCTATTTCTATGGTCAAAAGTTTGATTGCACCCATTGGAATTTAATCACGAATTATAAACTTAGTGACATGGACTTCCATCTAAGTGTTTAATAAGGGGCCCCCCCAGGTGGTGTTGTGTTGGGGGGGGCTGTCTTGGGGGTATGAAATAGCCCCCAGTGAGGAGGGGGCTGGATAATGTTAAACGCATTTTGTACCTTAACTTGCTTGGTAAATTTATTGATTTTTGCACTTTTTTAAATTTAAAAACAAGGAATCTCATAAAAAGTCTGGGTATGGCTAGGTTAAGATTTTCTGATTCAAATCATTTTACAAAAATGTTAGGCGAACTAATTCTAGTGCTTGCTAATGTAAGGGAATCTAACAAATAATTTGACGAACAATCTGGTTGACGAATGCCTTGTGATATACTCGATTTGATTTATGATGATCTTGAAGCGTTTATGAGATAGTTTTTACATCAGAGGAGTAAAATAAATTTTGTTATTATTTAACTTAACTTATTTGCATTCTTCTAGTAGCCTATGTTGCATGCATGTAGGAACTGTCAACAGCATTCGACTTAGGCCTACTGCTTTTTGCAGTTGTAACTTTTTGTGTTTTTGAAAACAAATGATAAATATATATTTTCAAAGTACCTATTAAATATTATTTCTTCTCACAATCTGAGACAAAAACTCAAATGTTTTTATTGAGATTCATGTCGAAAATTGATTGTTTGTGGAGATACAGTACTGCCGCTACGTTTACCTGAATGCTGAGATTTAATCAATGAACCAAAGCTGTAATGAATGGCCGTACTACAGGCCCCAATGAATGGTTCGCCCCCATCGCCTATATTGATCACCTGCGAGTGCGTGTGCGTGTGCTAGCGATCAGCCCGGCGGCTCTTGCCACTTCTGTTCCCCTGGTAGAAAACGAATCAAACGGAATCGGCTGTTCGGTTATCGACGGAATTACCTTTCAAACCGATTGGTTCTATCGGCTTCCCCACCTCCGATATCGGCTGTCTGTGAGGCATCGAACACCTCAATAAAGGAGGGGAACCCTCTTTAATCGGCTGCGTTCAATACTGAACGTTTTCAACAGTTTTTAACGCACTTTTGAGCACATTTCTTGCCGACATTTTCAAACTGAGCTTGCACCGCGAAAACAGTCTGCAAGGAAAGTCGAGTCGAGTCCAGTCAGCGAGAACTACTTATTATGAGGCGACGGAGTAATGAAAATGAAGTAATCAGGGTGGCAGTGATATGATATGTGTGTCAGTCACAATGTGGCGGAATAGAGGCGCCGAGTATCAGGGCAGCAGGAGAGGTTAGGTGCGACGACGCGGCAGACGACACACACGCCCGCCAATCGTTCCCGCGCTATTTGTACATTACGCGCAATTGAGTTGTGATGTGGCACAACCAACGTATCAGATATCATAACATAACCTATATTTGTACGAGTGTTATATGATCCATGCAAAAGACTACAAACAAAAATATTAGTTGTTAATATAACCCGATGAAATGTAAACAATACCCCCGCCGCAGCAAACCTGCAGACTATTCGAATTTCCATTTGCCTGATTTGATTTACAATAAAATGTCTACTTAAAAATATAACATTTATTCCCTATTTAAATAGAATTAGTTTAACAAACACTTAGGTTTGCTGCATCAGGGAGGCTAAAACAGTTTTTTTCTTGAAAAATGTTAATAGTTAGTAAGAAATAAAAACATTTTCCAAATTTGATCAAAATATGTTCATAAACAAGCAAACTACAACAGTTTACTTATTCTCCATAAGAATAACATGGGAATTTTAAATTTAAATTTTTTTGCAATTTTCTCCGTAACCATTAGGCGCATAACAACGCTTCAATATACTAAATTATTTGTTTTTTAGGCTCTACAAAATGGTTTGGAAAGAAATTGCTAAATTTTATGTTTTTTGGGTAAAAAATGGGAAAAACCTATTTTTACCCCATAAAACCCCCATTCCCATAGTCCGATCATGCTGGTTCGCAAACTCGTTCGAATAAATGTAGGTATACACGTTTATACCAAATTTCATCAAAATCGGATCATTTTTCCTTGAGTTATCGTGCTAACGGACACATATTTATATATATAGGCTATAGGCCTATTATCGTGCTAACTGCTAACGGACACATATTTATATATATAGGCTATAGGCCTATATATATAATTGCCGTAATATTTTTTATAGAGGACCAGTAAACTGTTGTAGTTTGCTTCTTAATAGCTAAGTATGAAATAAACAAAAATTATCCAACAGTTATCATAATATATCCATAAACAAGCAAGCTAAAAGTGTATTAATCTCCATTAGAATAACATGGGATTTAAATGTCCAGTTACCAGGTATTTGGAGTTTTCTATATAATCATTGAGCTTGAGCATACAATGATATATTAAATATATTAAATTCCCGGTTTTTTAAGCTCTACCAAATCGTTTAGAAAGAAATTGCTAAATTTTATGTTTTTTGGGTCCCTTATATTGTAACTTTTTATATTTGAACTTAAACTTTCCCAGCCTAGATTGAATAGGTAATTAGTGCTTGTATTGTAATATACCTATTCATTTTAATCATTAATTTTCAATTTTTAAATATCGGTTTTATGTGGCTACAGATCCTCTAATACCCGTAAACTTGTTCCAAAATGAAGATCTGAAAAAAAAATACAATTTAATGCCAAAAATTAAATACCCCCGCCGCAGCAATAGTGCAGACTAAGCTAATTTCCATTTTCCTGATTGGATTTCTATTAAAATAGTCCCTTAAAATTTTCAGACTTATTTCCTATTTAAATAACATTAATTTTTATGTGTACTTAGGTTTGCTGCTTCAGAGAAAGTATTGAGGGTTTTTTTAAATTGAAATGTTTATAGCTCAGTATGGAATAAACAAAATTGTCAAATTTGAATAAAATATATCCATAAACAAGCAAGCTACAACAGTTTATTTATTCTCTATAAGAATAAAATGGGAATTTTAAATTTACAATTTTCTCCGTAGCCATACAAAAACACTTCAATATACAAAATTATTTTTTAAGCTTTTCAAAATGGTCTAGAGAGAAATTGGGAAATTTGAGGGTCAAAAACGAGAAAACCCAATTTTCAACCCCATAAATCCACCCATAAAAACCCCGTTCCTATAGTCTGATCATGCTGATTTGCGAACTCGTTTGAATAAACGTAGCTTTACACGTGTGTACCAAATTTTATCAAAATCGGATAATTTTTTATCAAGTTAGGTATCACGCTAACGTCATATATAAATTTGAATGGAGGGCGTTTCTGACCTCTGTGGACCTCAAAATAAAAAAGTAAATCGGTCCCAGGTCTCAGGTCTTACCATGAAACCTACGGTAATAGCTTATTCCCTATGAAATTTTGCTAATATTCCCTATATGGGAAATTCGCATAAATGGTGTTTCAAGGTCCCAAAGAAGCGAAACAAAACCAATTGTTGACTTGGATCAATTACAGAACAATGTTTACTAAATCACAAACAATTAATCTCTTATAAGGTTAACATGATCAGTTGCCATCGGTGTAGGTTCGTAATTGTTTCAACGTAGCTCAGCTAGCGGATTGAGTAACTTTGCTGACGTAGCTCCTTATTGGGACATTGGTCAGAGGTTTATCATCAGTATACTTGCTGATATGACATGTGTATGTACGTATAGATCCACACGATAACTTCTGGACAGCTGGCATAGTGAGAAAAGGTAGGTGGAAAGACAAAATTGAACTATTACTTTTGCAAAATGTCAAATAAGATTCAATACGATTTTTTTTGTTCTTGTGTACACCTGTGGCATTTATTCAGAGGAGAAAATATTTTATCGACTAAACAAAACCTTTTCTAACAGGAATTATCATTGTTCTATTATCTTTCAAATCAGAACTTTAAAAAACTATTTGATCCTTTGGATTTTGAGGACTTAAAAGTTAACTCATCCCTTATTAAATCAGTTAATATTTTATCTTAATTTAAATCCAAGCATAGGTGTCACTATTTAGGAATCCATTTAGCGTACAGTGAAATCTTAGGAAATAGACCTTTGATAACAAGTGGGGAAGTATAACCCTTGATAACAATAAGAGTAATTTTTGATTGCCATTGATACTTAAGAAATTTGTATGTAACACTTGAAATGGCGACCATACGAATATTTAATTTATAATTTATTTATATTTATATTTATTTAATTTTTTCCGAATATTTATATTTGGGATATTTTAAGCCAAATATGAATGGAGCTGAGTGTAGGATGAGTGGCGCGATCTTGTAGTCTTGTTAGTAACTAAGGCTGACATGTTCCTTAGACAATCGATTTCATACACCCTTAATTCCATGTTATTGCCAACCTCGATAAGAAGTCAACCTTGATACAATTCTTGTTTTATCATCTCCATGAAAGACTTGTTGTCGAGGCTTTACTGTATAAATACATTTTGAAGGAAATACAATTGGCTGATTCGCTAATTAGGGATTTTTTTGTAAAGGGTAAAGTTCAGCTTTGTACCTGAGAATGTCAGAAGTCCATCGGCTGGATACACAGTAAAAAGCCACAACAGAATCATTAGATTAATTAAATATTTTTCTACAATCTACTCCCTGAATGTTCTACATTAGAACAGAATATCAGTTTTATATTTTTTGTGTATTTATTAGCGTGACTTTCTTAGGTAAACTACCTTGACTTAAAATACCTAATTTGTATGGTCAACATTTCAATGAAAAGTATTAAAGTATTAGGTAAGCTAAATTCGACCTTATACCCCTTAAAAATCTAGTGTATTAAATAAATAGTTTTTAAGAGGTTGTGAATTTTATTAGGATTATTTGGCAATTCTCTCAAGGCAAGGGGCAGTTTATTAAAAAAAAAAAAAAAAAAAAAAAAAAAAAAAAACACGTAGGTATTGCTACTGGATTCAAAAATACCCCCGCCAAAGCAAACCTACAGACTAAGTGAATTTCCAATTATTGCCTTATAGGATTTTCACTCACTAAATTAATATCTCCTTTATCATGTCAAATTTATTCCCTGTTTAGAAACACTAGATTTAATGACTACATAGGTTTGCTATTACTAAATTTACAAAATATGACCAAACTATCCATAAATAAGTAAACTACAACAGTTTACTATTCTAATCTCCATAAATAACACAGGAGTTTTAAATGTACAGTTTTTTGGAATTTTTCTTTAACCAATTCAAGAAAAGTTGAAATCTTGAAGTGTACAAACACACTTCAAGATGATAATTTTTTTAAGCTCTATAAAAAAAGGCTGTGATTACAATTGGCCATTTCCATGTTTTAAGGGTAAAAGTGAGAAAAAAATCAATTTTTGCAAACTTTAAAACCCCTTAACACTCTGTTTCTATGTCCGGATTTTGATCAAATTTGGGAAATTTAATATTTCATCCTATACATGTACTTCTATTGAAATTTCATAAAAAAAACACACTTTTCCATTCCCACGTAGCAATAAACTTAAATATTCAAAATAACAAACTGAGTAAAAAATTACAGCCGTTCAAAGATTCAAAATGGCAAATTCAAGAAATCTATGATCGGCTGCTATTTTCAGTTCAGCTATCCGTTTGAGTTCAAAATTTGAGGCATTGTATTCTACCTATAAAGGCCTTCAATTTGATGTGCATCCTATGCTTACCTTAAAGATTTTCTTCTGACTTCTAGCGGGCCGTCCTCCTGAGGAAGTAGTGAATCACTGAATTATGTTTTAAAACCATTTTAATGCCCACTAACTGTGTACTATGTTTTGTAGCTCTATTTTTTTTTTTTGAAATATTTAACCGTCCCGGGACTTTCTCCACCCTGTATAAGGTAGTACAAGTAAAGGTTAAAGGAAAAATTCCAAAAAAAACCTAATATTAAAATTTTGTATGTTATTCTTATGGAGGAAAAGAACACTGTCGTGATATGTTTATGGATGGATTTTGATCAACATTATTTATTTAATCTTTTACTCTTTTAGCATTTAATAAAAATAATACTTTTTATCTTCTCTGTAGCAGCAAACCTAGTCACTCATTAAATCTTATGATTTTAATGGGGAATAAAATAAGACTTGTTTATGGAAATACTTTACTTGAAATCCGATAAGACAAATTTAAATTGGCTTAGTCTGCAGGTTGACTGCAGCGTGGGTATTGTTACAAAATCTTTTACTGATTATTTGTTCAAACCAATGTTTAACAATCAATGTGCAAGTACAGTAGTAGAATCATAGACAAAAAGAATTAAATATAGAGCGTCAGCCGTGCTGCTGTTAACATAGGTTCTGGCGCATACTGCTGCGGGAGCGCCTTGTAGTTACGGCGTACGTGCTATGTAACTACACGGTACTCCCAGTGGTGTGTGCCAGAACCTATGGTATCCATGGTAACCGTAGCAAGTCTGACAGACTATATTTAATTTGTTTTGTCTGGTAGCATTGACTATTGGATACTACTGAAGAAGACATCCCATCTATATGGAACAACTGTCGCTAATTTTTATTAATATTAAAAAAGAACATATAGTTGTGTCCAATTACAAATGCACTAGGGTTCAAAGTTCCATTTTCTACCTTATTAATAGTTGCTGACCATTTCATGGGTCATAACAGTTGCCATAGCTCACCAAGTCATTCCATTAGTTTGACTTTGTTAAAAAGTCTGTGTATTCTACAGAAATTAGTGATTTTAGATCAGCGCTCAGCGCAATCTATAGGTGGCTCACATCATCTGCGACAATTTTGGTTAATAAACTGGTGAGAACTTTAACATGTGAATGGAATGTCTATAGTTGTATTAATAGTCAAAGGTAGTAGTAACTTAGAGAAAGAGAGAGGAAGAATGATGGAATGTCAACAATGAGGTCAGAGAACTGCCACGTGTACTGTTAGTGCTGAGCCTGCAATCCAGGCTGGATCAGCTGATCAGCGTTTAGCAAACAGCTGTTGATGAGGAATACATTAAATAAATCTATACTGGGTCAAGGCCATCAGAGTTGCAAATTGTTATGTGCATAATCAGTAAAGCAGATTGTGAGAAAATCTGAACTGGGATGTATCATAGATTTTATAAGATTAGATAATATTAGATTTGTATGACACCAACAAACTTTGGTACACATTTTAAGGAAAAGATGGCTGAATAATGAGTGTTAAAAATGGGTGATAAGTTTTGTTAATGACTATGATCAGCTGTTTCTTCAGCCAAAACCATTTATTAAAGTCAAAGTCACTGAGTTGAGATGTACAACTGGAGGTAACACTGAAAGAGAATTGCGAGACTTTGGCCACCAAGTACAAAGGGATACAGTATATTGTACTTAGTACATTTGAATTAAAATAGGGGAATAGGGGATTGTATACATACATAAGCCCAAAAGCTGATTCCCCTAGGTGGTACCAACATAACGAAATTTACAGTGTCATTATTTTCTAGCAGTCGCCTTGCCAGTGCCACCCTGTACCTCCAGTTGTACATATTTCTAACTCGGAGCTTAAAAGCCCAATTTTCAGCCATTCTGCTATGGTGCTGCAATTAGTCTTTTTTACAAAATATAGAACTCAATAAATAAATGAGGCGTTCAGAAGTCAATCCGACTAAGTCCTATCAATGAAAATGTTCAGTATAGAGAACTAAAGTTATCTTTGAATGGAAAATTCTGAGAAATTCTTAGCAAATTTTTATTAGGCTCAACATATGTCTCACAATAATGGCCAACTTTTTATCCTATATTTACATTATTATAAAATTCAAATTTCTTTAAATTTAAAAAAAATAGTCACTTTTAATGGAGTTAGTCGCATTGCCAACAGAAAAGATTCAACAAAACATTCTGAGTGATTTGTATAAAGATTACTTTATTTAACAAATACACAAAAAGTAAAGCTCAATCAAATAAAAAATAACAAAGTATTATTGCAAATCATTTAAATACATATTCTGGCATTTAATAAAACATAAATATGGGTTTCCATCCAATACAAGCATCTTAATTCTGCGTAGGTAATGCAATCGTCGTCACTCTCAACTTCGCCTTTGCAAGATATGAAAGAACTCATCATACAAAAGCACTATAAAGCTCTTAGCACAACAACTTAGCAAATCATAAACTTTTACAATGTCAGTTCAACATGAAACATCTGTTAGTTGACAGTTGTTATGGGAACATGGAGTTAATCAAACTGGCCTCCGAAACAGCTGGGGAAAGGTTCAGTTGGTAAAAAATGTAACTCATTTTAGCGGCACACTAATGAACTATGTAGTTAGTCGTCTTGGCCACTGAACATTCTTTATAAAAGCAATCTAACCATGTTATAAACTTGATTTGAAAAAAAATGAACTTAGATTGACTTCTGAACGCCTCAAATACAAAACATGTAAAAAACATTGAAATTAATTTTAATATTTCAAACAGATCCAAACATAGGCTTTTTCATATTAATGATAATTATTGAGATAAAAAAGGGTGTTTTGTTTTAGGGTCAAGATGCATGTTGGAAACTGCGGTGAGGTTTTATGTGTTCTTCTGCTTCTCTTTGCAGCTTCTAAACAGCAAACCGATGGTGGAAAACATAACAAGTAGGTTTTTGAAAAAGTTTTTCTTATGGATGTAAATTGATAACTAAACCATAAGATTGATTAAACTATAAGAAACAAGGTTTTCGTAGATGCTGTGATGATCAACCATTGACTTTTGCAGGGCCGGTTACAGTTTACTATTGTAAGTAAACAACATCCCCCCCCCCCCCCAACAACATTATATATATAGTCAAGTGCCTGATTTTGGTAAAATTACTTTGACCCCCTTTTCAATGTGGAGGGCCTAAAAAAAAAATGGAGCTGCAGCTTTTTGTACTAAAACAATTCTGGAACAAAAATTGAACTTTTATTTGCCAAGATTGTGGGCAAAGATCAAGATATCCCCATCCCGTGATTGCGGGAGACGTTCACAATCTCACAGCACACGCGGATAGTAATGATAATGATGTCCCCGTGATTGTAGGAGATTTTCAAGGTTTTACGCCGATCGCAGGTGGCAATGATAATGTTTCGTTATCACGGGAGGTGTTCACGATTTCTTGATGATTGCAGGAGGTGATGATGACATTCCCATGACTGCGCAAGATGTTCACGATTTTGCCGCGATCCATTGGCGGATATAGAATATTTTGTTGGGAGGGCCGAGATTTATTTAAGCTTAGGTTAAGTAATTTTAAGTAGACACGTCATGATACTTTATCTCTGTTTTGCTGTGGTAATTTGTGACCTTTACTTTACCTAGATCACGCTCTATCATTAAAGTATTGTTCCATTAAATCATACAAATGTATCCATTCATGCCAAGAATATGTCTCAATTACTAAATAAAAAAACCAAGGTCAAGATTTAACAGTGTGTCATCCCATCTGTAAACACTTATCCAAACCTAAAGAGTCAAATACGCGATTGTGATTATCATATTCGAAGGGGTTCTAACTATAAGTATTCTCTTGCGCGAACTGCAAAATATTAATATTTCAGTACAACATATGTTGAACCGATGTAAATAACAAACAATAACAATGGCTACCACTGAACTGACTAAACTCTTCATTACTCCCCTTCCCTGTCCTCGGTAGATATGTTGGTCTCTAGCGGTCACTGATGCAAGCGAAGATAGCCTGCTAGCAGGCGGGAGCCCGAGTCGGTCCGAATCAACCGGAACTCTCACAAACTATCACTGTCTGCTACGGCAATGATTTCGGGAACGATTCATGATCAATAATTTATATTATGGTATCTATTTTTTCTTCATATATCTATTATTTTGCCCCCCCCCCCTTATATTCGCCCCAGAATCTTCCCATCAGTTTGACTGGGTTGAAAAGTTTGAAAAAAAAATTGTAATTCCCATCAGCATTCCCTTCTGGTGGCTTAATTTAAACATCTCCAATTTGATTTAAAAACTGACAACAGCAACTTTAACATAGGGATGGAAAGTCTAGTTCAATCACTAGTCAAAGATTAAACTCAACCATTAATTAATTTATAGCTCCACCAGAGTCGAAGGAAGATAAAGATGAAGAAAATCTTAAGTACAATACATCCTCTTTTGAGCTTGGGAAGGCACAATGTTGAGTCTTTATAATTTTATACAATAATTCCCATAAGCACTAAATTGTGTAGCAACAATGCAACAATGCATTTCAGCTGATCCGCAATGAAGTAAAGGAAACAGGGATACCAACATATGAACCTTATTGTGACAGTGTTTCATATTACTTGTTATTATTTGCATTGCGTTTTTTTAAAAAACCAGGAAATACACTTTTATATTGTTTTTAATTATCAGTGACAAAATTAATTTAGTAAATCTTATTGATTTATCTAATTAGGAACCTGCTATACAAATTCCTTACTGTATTACATTAATAATTTTTATTATAAAAACTCAATCATCAACAATGATTGAAAGAAAAAACCTCTCTTTTTAATAATAAGTACATTTTTTCGTGATATAATTTAAAACAATTTTACCTAGCAATTTTGTTGCCATTATGAGTAAATATATTTATTTTGTCTGAAAGCACAAAAGATACGTCAAATAACAATTATTTGTGTTATTTGACACTAACAGTGTTATTTGACGTATCTTTTGTGCTTTCAGGTAAATTAATAACACGTACGATGCTGATCAAGAAGTTATTTATTCATTTTGCATCATAACCCATCTACAATCTTTTAAATTTCCGGAAATGGCAGTAGTGTGTAGTCAAAACTAACTTAACCTTTAAATGAATAAATCATATTTTTTGACAATGCATTGCATCTTAAATTTTTTAAATTCATACACATGAACATGAAACCCCATGAAGTTTTAAATATGTGATGAACTATTGTAAATACTATAGCTAACTGAATTCAATTTTTTTAGGTATGAACATCCCGCTGAGTTTGATGGCCCGCTTCCTAAATTTTCAAGCAATGAACATCCAAGAGGCACAGTTGGCGAGTCTGCAGATGATACTGTTTTCCCAACTTACATTGTAGAAGAAGAGAATCCTGAGAAGTTACTGCAAAACCCTAAACTGATGAAGCAAATAGAGGACCAACTAGAAGATCATGACGGCAATGAATTTAAAGATCAACAACACAACAGAAAAATTGATATTCTGGAAAAGTCTGTAGATGATACTGTCTTCCCAACACACATTGTAGAAGAAGAGAATCCTGAGAAGTTACTGCAACACCCTCAACTGATGAAGCAAATTGAGGACCAACTAGAAGATCATGATGGCAAGGAATATAAAAATCAACAACAGAACGAAAAAATTGATGATCTGGATGGAATAATACAGAAAGTGTTTAACTTAGACAATGAACAAAAGCATGATACAGAGTCACATAATTTGCATATCAAGACTCAATTGCCAGTGGCTCCTAAAGAAGTTTATAAACAGAACATCCAACGTAATAGTCCAGTTGAAATCGGACTTCCTCAGGGAAATATACTTGAACGACGGCGTATTATGAGAAAACTTAAATCACCACTAAGAAGTAGCAGTTCTGGTTACAAAAGTGAGCAAACCAGCGAAGAAATGCTTCACGACATTCTCGAATCTATTGACCAAGATAATTCTCAACATGGAGACCCGATCAAAAATGCATTCCTTAAGAAAACAACCACTTATAATATCTCAAAAATCCACAACCACGGTAGGAATAGAAGTTTTTTGATTGAGAAAATCGTAAATTATACTACCAACATCAAGATTTTACACCCTGAAAGTATTCCTACAAATTACTCGGACTCACGAAGTTCAGTTGTACAAACCGTTATGGATTTAGACAAAAGTAGGGATTCACCTAACGACAATAGAATTGGAAACCCGTATGATAGTTTACCTGAAGAGAATGGTGAGTCAAACGATATAGTACAGAGTCAGGGTAGATCTCATTTTAGTAATGGTGAGACTCAACCTTTGAAAACCCCAACTCAAAATCAATTCCCCACAGATTTTGTAGGTGGTGTATATTTAAAACCGCATAGCAACTTACCCATAGAAGATTCATTGTCTGACAAAAAACATACTAATCATGAGTTTTCAGACTTTGTTGGAGGACAATATGTTAATCCTTCCAAAAGAAAAAGTGATGAACCGCATAAATCCAAAGACTCAAAAAATAATCTAGATTTTGTCGGAGGGCAGTTCATAGAGCAACCATTGGGATCGAGAGAAAATGTTTTACAAACTTCAAGTCCTGATTTTGAAACAACTTTGGTTCAAGATTATGCCACTAATAGTCCTATAGTTGAATTTCCCAGTTTATCCCTTACTAATGAACAGAAAGTAAGTAAGGAGCACCCATCGAGTAATATTTTGAAAACTAAAGGAAAAACAGAGGAAAATCCAATTTTAGAGGAGGTTAGCAGTGAAAAAGCAAACAGTAAATCCAAAGATTCCTCACGTACAAATACAATCAGCACTAAGGAAAATGATAAAAACAGAGCTAAAAGCGACATTGATTCATCTGAAGAAAAGACTTTACCTTCATCTACTAACAATAACGATCATGACACCCTCGATGAAAGTTCAGATGTTGAGAATAAATCCAACAATAGTTATGAAAGTACAACAATTCCTGGAGAAATGCAAGACAAAGCAAAAAACACAATTTCTAAGACAGATTTAAAAAAAGTAAAGAAAACTCAAAATTCCCCTAAATATGTGCTGAATGAGGATCATCAAAATAGTATGAAAGCTAAAAGTGGTGAACAAAAAATAATTCATGCAAATATTCCTTCTGATGATTCAGTTTTGCGAGCAGCTAGTGAAGACGATTTAAACTCTGGTGAAGAAGAAGTTGAAGAAGAGTCAGAAGAGTACAGTAGTACTTTGCAAGATTTTGTTGGCCTCAAGCCTACAAAAACCTATGCCAGTATTATGAAGACCGATTCAACAGGACATTTTGTTACAGAAATACCTGATGACTTCTCGACCGATTCAACAACTCAACCTAGTAGCCTAGAAGATTTAGAACCATTAAGTACGTCAGGTTCAAACCTGAAAATGAGAAATATGTCACCAAATCCAAATACAGAATTTAATCCTATTCTCGGAGACGTATTAGATGTTCAGAAAAGTAAGGTAAGATCTATTTCTAGCGAAACTGAATTTTCTGATCCATTGAGTGAAACTGAATCTCAAGAACAAAATATCACAAATCTTGTTGATGAAGTTAAACTTTTCGCTGGAAAACCCAATGAAAGCGAATCAGTGCCCAAAGAGAAAACTACAATCAACCCTAAAAGTAATATTTTGAAGAAACTGTCCAAAGCCGTAGAAGGAAACTCAAGTGAAAAAAACACAACAGAGCTGTGCTTTCCAATAAGTGAGGATGAAATACCAACTCTCCTAGACCTTCTTTCTGGGAAACTGTATTTAGAGAAGAATGGGAAAAGGACTCACTTACGTTTGAGAGATAATCCGATGAAAAACTGTAATTCTAGAAGTGCAGTTTGTAAATTATTTTTTGATTTGGAGAAAAATACAGAGCCGTCAATGTCAGAAGAAATGTTTGAACCCTCTGATGAAAACCCAGACAAGGGTTTGCCTATGAAGTCTAAAAATGAAAAGAGACAAATTACTGAGGAATATAACGGGACAAATGAAACAAATGCTGAAAATAAAACTGATGAGATTACTACAAAACCTCCAGAGGGAGTGGAGATAAGTAAAGAATTAAATGAAAATAAAATCACGGACACACCGTTAGGAAATAAATCTGAAACAACTGTAAGCGATCTTATTGTTAACAAAACAGAAACGGAACTATCAGAATCCTCAGACAAAATCAAACAAAAACCAGAAAAAGCGTTGTTTATAAAACTACCGGTTTCCTTCAAAGGTTTTGAGGTTCCAGATCAGATTCCGATAAGAGATTCAAACAGCAATCAAAATAATGTAAACCAACCGATGAATGAAAAGAGAATTACATTGCACGATTTGGATTCCCCGTATCACAGTCATGGTGTTTTAGGTCCGAGCCCTTTTCTCCGTAAGATTCACCATAAACGTAACAGTCTTGCCAACATCGGAGGCGCTTGCGGATGCAACAACCCTCTTCTGCTAAGTCCTTCCCCAACTCCTGATTTTAGACATTTCGTAGGAAAACGTATGACTATTTTGAAAAATATTGTTCACACCATAAAAGATTGGGCTACACAGGATTCGCTTAGGGCTTAGATTAATCTTAGAAGTGTATATAAGATTGCACAATAGTTTTATTGTATATAAAGATTATTTTCATAACTTACTGTAAATATTAAAATATTTTGTACTTTTTTTATATGAAATTTCAAATCTTGTTTGATTAATAAAGCTTTTAAATTTAACTCTTGGATTTTATTTTTTTCTTTATTAACTGATTAAATGGTAAAAAACACAACCTAAGGATGGTGGTAGTTCTTCTAAAGTTTTGAGTAGGCTAGATTTTTTAAATTTCCTGATGGTTCCTGCGCAAGGCTAGCCAAGAGTGTGATATCATGTAAGTACCATTAACACCCTCCCAAATGAATCACATACGCGTACTTTTCCCCTCACTACCAGCAACAAATCTACAGGTTAAGAGTACACACAACCCATACATACAATCACAACACTGTTTAATAAACACTATTTTAACACAACTTTGAAACAGATATGTTTGTTTTGTTAATTTTTTTAAAAGAGTAACAATTTACTGTTTTTCCAATTTAATTTTAAAAGTTTAGTAAGCCTGTTCAAGCGTGTTAAGTATTTGTTGTTTTACTTCTTTTTAGAGCCTACTAAAAAAAACTCATGATGTGCTTTTTTGAAAAAGTGCCTTACAAAGTGCACTGTAAATATAGCAAACTCCAGCTGATTTTTCTGGGTCCTTTCTGAAAATAATAATCTTTGTCTTACTGCAGCAAAAACATCTGTTTTTGAAATATGAGTTGTGGGTCTAAAGCAGTTCTTTTTCTGTCAAATAATGTGTCCCATAAAAAAAAATTCTGCATAATTTGAGATGATCGAATTAAAAAAAGGCTTAAAATTTATATTTATAGGATGAGAGGTCTACTTAAGTACTAAAGTATCAATCATAATTTTGCAAAACGTTGCAATATTTGCTATCATCTGGTTGTAAGGAGAAGAAGGAAATTTTTTTCCTACGAAACAACAATATTTTTATTTTTATTTCAACATAGAATTGGTAAAACTACTTTCTATGATTACCTACCCTCTTATCTAAATACTAAGAATAGGCAGAAAACCAACAATGAGGAAGGTGAACTTTAGTCTATTATGGGAAAACTTGTTGTTTTTCCCAGGGAGGTACTAATTTTTTTTCAAAATCATCACTTAATAAGTTATTGTTCTAAGTGGATAGACTACTTTGTATTTGTATACATCAAGTCTTCATTGCAAGCTCGGAAAGTGAAAAAATAATCTAGTTTCAAGCAATTGATGGCAAAACAGAAACAATATTCTTCTTCTATGCTGAATGGAGATGATTTTTCTTCTCTCTTCGCTCACTTATGGAGCTGTACAAGAATCACTGTATAAGTTGTGATGGCTGCAACTGCCTGAAAAAAAATTACAGTTAAATAGGACTGTTTTTCGACAGTCAATAGTTTTCAAATCAACAGTCTCAGAAAAATATTCAATCAGCAGTCTTAAATAAACAGTCTCTAATCAACTGTCTCTAATCCTAATGAACAATATTCAATCAACAATATCCAAACAACACAGTCTCTAATCAACATTTTCCATACAATAGTCTGAACCTCTTTTATAAACATTTACCACCTTGTAAATGTGAAAAGTTAAGAGTAGATACATCATAAAGACATATTCTATAGCATAAACATTTGTAAAACATTTAATAAACCAAGTTCTACTTACTGCTGTTGCCAGATTGGCTCGTAATATGTAGAGATCAAATGCACAAGAAATAGTGACGTTGCGGCTTGCAATTTCTTGACAAAAATAATGTAGCTGTAAAAAATATTTGTTTTAATTTTGTTATTTTAACTCAACTTTTCTGTGCTTACAACAACTTATGTTGATGAGCATAATAATTCTAAAATATGTTATATTATGTACAAACATTATTCATAGAAAATTTTATTTTTTGGTCAATAACAATAAAAATTTAGTGAAGGTAAAGGAATATAAAATCACCTACCTCTTCTTGAGTCTTTTTGGAAAATGTTTGACATGCATTTCCACTCAAAATCACCATTGTTCTACTAGCCTGAAAAATAAAAAAAACAAAAAAGGGTTATTACAATTTTATTGCAACCGGTTAACTTGCTCTGTTCATGATAGGCTTTGGATTGCTAGTAGACAGTGCTCTCATTATAGTCAGAAATTTGCTGGTTTTATCCTAAAGACTTCAGTTTTTTTCTGAAATTCATATAAATCAGAAAAATATCCATCCAAGTGTGCTCAGCTTGAAGAATTGAGTTAAGGTTCAATGCTTGGTCCAACAAAAACTATTTAAAATGTCTTCATCTATGAACCACATACGGTTGCGTAAAGGATTAATTTTTTTCTGTAAAATAGTTTATGGTCTAGTAAGCAAGCGTGTGAGATTTAACCCGAAGGGAAACATTTTTTGAATCCATACATTTTGGCGTTATTTATTTTCAATAATTACTACTAGTATTTCTCACTTAAAAGCTGGAAAATCAATAACTTAGAGCAGCACATATTGAAAAAGTTGAATATTTTATAAATTAACTAGTAAACAGTTGTAGCTCTAAATCCATAAATTACATAAAACTACAGATACTTACCGAGTTAGCAGTTACTTCGCTTATTACTAGAGGAATTGTGAATCTGAAAACGCTTTTTAGAATCCAAAACGATACATCGAACCTCGTGGAAAGAATGAAAATCTTGACGAATCCATAGATAACAAAATAAGAGTTGAGAAGTATTAGAAAGAATGATGCAAATATGGAAAATAATAGAATATATTCGAACATGACTTTTAGAAAGTACAGAGCAATACAGAGATGTCGATGGCTGAGGCGCAAACTCTGAAGTCGACTCGAGTAATCGGATTCTGAGAGAATAACTGTTTTATCTAAAAAATTGTCAAACTCTGATGTAAAAACTGTAGCAAAATCCAATTGTTCATCAACTTCATCTTGAGGAACAACAAAAATGGGAACCGTTTTGATGCAAGAATTCATCACTGCTTTTTTATTACGAGCTTTAATTCGCTTCATCAAATATTTCGATAGTGTTACATGATTTAAAGATGACTTTTTAATCTCAGGATTAAACAGCTTTTTCCGATTAGTCCATTTGTCTGCGAAAGATTTGATTCTATATTCAAGTTTGATATCGTGCGGTGAAAACAGATTTTCAAGAGTTTCATTAATAGCGTTGAATCGTATTCTTAAACTGTTGCACATCAGTACAAATTGAATTTCAGCTATGAATCCGATCATGTCGATGAAGTACAGGAATATTATCCAGAACGTTACGTATTTGTTGAGAACGTGCATCAGTGCGAGAGACGTAACCGAGAAGAGTTTCACCGGAATGCTGAACCCTAGACAGTAAGTTATGAATCTAATCGCAAAATTATCATGAGTTTCTGAAAGAACTCTGCCTTTCCTTAGGAACAAGTCACACTCGTCGAGGTATTGCAGATATTTGGGCAGACAGTTTTTGTACCTTCGCAAAGCGTTGAGGATTGCGACTATACTCGTGCAGCACATGACCATTGGGTAGAAGACCTTGACGAATTTCGTTAACAAGTAGCCTCTAGTGGTACTGATTATGACTTCGGGTCCCGGACCTTCCCTGACGTCTTCGAAGTATTGCACAACAGGAATACTGAGAGCGAGGATGACGATAGAGAGCAGAAGAAGAAAAAGAGAGTAGGAAACATCGCCATAGGAGACTTTGGGAGAACCCTTGAACAGATCTATCGGTAACATTCCAGAGAACTTTAATATGCTTATGAAAAGATTTGGAAACACTTTAGAATATGCTTGAGAATCCATCACAATGATCCACAGTTGAATTTAATGAAGACTTGACGGAGAAAAGATTGCATTTACTACAGTAATGGTTCTTGTAATATTGACAGCTTGATGTGATTAGTGGACTTTTGAAGTGAACTAATTGGAAACCAACATTTGCGAAGTGTATTTATCTATCATTATGAGTAGTGGTTTTGGTTATTGATGATCCATCATTTGATAATTGGAATTGTTGAATGTTGTTTTAAGTTTTAATGTTGTATTTTAAGGGCTGTTTATGATTAAATTATTCCTACTATTAATTAATTGATGTATTACATTGAAACTACAACGTTTACTAAAGGTTCTTTATATCTGAAACTAAAATAATCAAACACTATGTGAGTAACTGAAACGAGAAATAAAATGCTGTGAAATAAATGCAGCAGCATTGGAAGAATCCACAAAACCTACATTCCAAGGGTATTGTTAGCTTTTATTTGAAACTGCATGTAAGTTCAGAAAGCTGGAAGCTGGGTAGAAGGTATTAAAAGGAAGGAAGGTATTAGGAATTAGAAGAAGTCAAAAGGTTAACGGTTTGATCCTGAGAAAATCATTTATCCTTTTGATGGCTCAAAACTGGACTCAGCTGTCGCTTGATGTTGGAAACTTAATGAACGGCACCGGCTAAAGAACCACTGTCAATAACGAAAAATATCACCAATTTCATTTAACACTCATCTTCATTTTACAATAACCACCCGGCTTATTGTTGGCGTTGCATGAGTACTAGAATTATTGATCCTAACTGATGAAACAGCTGATCTTAGTCAGTAATAAAGCTACACAGATCTCACAACATTCTGCACCATCCTTCACTCATATTTGCCTTAAAATATGCATATAGGCGTCCTCATCTCATGATGATAATAATATGATGTAAATTTAGCTCCATATTTTTCAAATTTGCCGTATCATAGTAACAAAAATTCCAGTACATCCAAGATGAACAGTAAGGATTGGGGTGTGTGTTCGGTAGGATGCCAGTGTGCTCGTTACCGAAGGAATGTTCAAGAGTTTCATCCTTTTCTACCAGGAGTTCTTCCATCGCCTCATTTGAGAGAAAGAGAAGTCACTGTACACTTTACAGAGGGTTGGTATTTATAGTAAATAGTGGGATTGGACAGTTGTGTATGTCCTGACAGTATCCATGTAGAAATTGTGCAATCAGATATCTTCATAAAAGAAAACAGGAAGATACTGATATAGTGCAGTTTAAATGGAGCTACCCACACAAAAACAAGACTTGATTGATGGATTTTTTATCAATTGCTATTAAAGATCAATCAGATCAATTAGGATGTCAAAAAAGGAGGGATGAGGGAGAGGCTCATTAATCAATTATCAATAACCGGAAATTATTTAAGATGAGGATGCTACTATGTATTATCATTATGATATAGCTGTTTCATCAGCTGACCACATGAGAGTAACACTATTATAAATAGACGATAGTAATATTAAGTTTATCTAACAACAAATTATTTAGATGTATGAATGATAAAAAAAATGACAGTACCGGTAGTGGAAAATTGTTCTTGTAGGCATCTACATCATACTTACCATTGTTACTGACATGGCTCACACAGAGAATTTGATTTAACAAGGTCAAATTCTAGCTAAATAATATTAATAGTTTAAGAAAATTAAAAAAAAAACAAAAAAAATTACTAAAGAGATGGTAATAAAATTCTTCTACGTTATAAAACGCACTTTCAAGGAGTTCATTTTTTAATGTTTCTTAAAACTTGTTTGAACTCATTTTTTATAATTTACCGTTAGTTTATTATACATTTTTAAACCTGAGTACAAAGGACTTTTATCAAATAAGGTCAAACGGTGATGTTATTCAACTCTTATGCTATTCCAGATCAGTTTCTCCAAGATCCAAGCAGCAAAGATTTGTCCAGATTTAAGCAATGGATGCCAATAGATCCAACCTTTGTTATACCAAGGTGATTCATTTACAAAAATTTAGATTCAATTTGAAATTCAACATTTTAAATTAGTTGAAATTACACAATACAATTCAACGAGATTTGTTCATCTTTGACCCAAACGTGTACAAGTAGTTTATCCCCAAAAAGTTGTTATGTTACTATAGTCTATATGATGGAACCTGTCTTCTGAACCTTTGCCTACCTGGGCCTTAAACCATTAGACAGTCCTCAGGTAGACAAGTAGTAGGAGACAAATTTCATCATACAGACTATAACTGCTTTATACTACAAGTTTTAAAACATTTATTTTTTCAATCCTCTGCTTTGCTTTCTTGCTCTAGATATGTTGAAAAAAATCATGAAAATTATTTTGGGATTATTTTGGAAAATAATTGGTTTGTAATGGTAATATTGGCTACCATTTTGGATAGAGAAGAGATAGCAAACTCTGGTTTTCACCATTCTTTAAGTTTTTGTAAACACTTCAAAATGAGGTGTCACTTGAAGGGGGTTTACATTTAAAACATTTTAGTTACCCCCCAAATCCCCCCTTTTAGGGGACACTCAAAAATTTCAAAATCATAAAATGAAACTTCCTGCTAAGATTGCACGACCACCAAAAGGATATCTTTGTATATTTAATGGGAAAAATATTAAAGGGGGGGGGGTCTTGACTTTTTATTCACCCTGTATATAAGCTTCAACAGCTATGTCAGACACAGAGTATCAAAACCAAGCTTTCATTTACTTATTAGTTTCTACGTACCTACATAAGGAAAACTCAAGAAAAAAAGCAAAAAGCCATATTTGACACCTATCCCAGACTGTAAAATTGTTGAAGCATTTTATGCTTGGGATTTTCTCTCCCTTATGCTAATGAATTCTTCCCAATTTTATTCCAGTGGAAAATCAAAACTGTTATTTTGATAAACAAATTGTATTGGATCAAGAGGCAAAAAGTCGAGGGATTTCACGAGCTGCTGAGCTGAACATGGTTAAATTCTTTTTTTTAAACTTGTAATTAAAAAGCTTTAATGCTCTTAAGATTGTTGACAGTTTGATTCTATGAGTTTGTTGTCAAAAATAAGTAGGTTTAAAAAAGTGGGGTAAGTAATAATCATGCAAATACATTGGCACGTTAACTCCCCTAATGAGGGGAGGGTGCTTTGGTCCAAGTAGTATTTTATGCAAGAAAAACATATTTCTTGTTTATCTGATTGTTAATATGTAGATTACATCTAAATCAAACAGCTGTAGTCTAATTTTCACTCAAAAACATCAGAATTATCTGCCTGGGTGTTTCTAGCTTATTCCCTGCATGGGAAATTTGCATTAAATCTGCAGCTCAAAATAACTACCAAGTTCTTTTCCGTTCTAAAACTGCATTCAACTTAATACTAACGTAAATTAATGTCTACTGTAGTACTTTAGTACTGAAGTACAAAAATTGTATTCCTATAACCAAAGGTAGCTCACGCTTGAAGTAAATTAGATATTGACTAAAATTTCTGTATTACCTATCTGAACTATGAAACACAACTTGAATTAATCCGGTAGAATTCAACAGGACCAAAATTGACATCCAAACACAACTTGAAATAAAGTTTTATTATTACAAATATTTACAAGCTTAAACTTACCCAAAAACTATTAATATAGAGTAAATTTAAGTGTAGCACTCTTGTCACAATTTATTTTTGTGGATCTAGAACTATTTAACACAACGCTAAAAATCTAAAGAAAAACAGCTCACCGTCATAGTCTGGATTAATTTTTGACTAGATGTTCTAAAATGTTAATATTTTAAGATATTTTTAATACTGTTAGTTTTTATGTAAATAAAGTAAGAACTACTGTATATAATACTTTTTTGTGTTCATTTCATTTTATTTTCCACAGCAATGTCATTTACAATCATTTATCTCTGTATACTCCAAAAATTTGCAAGTAACAAGATCATATTTAAAAAAATATACATTTAAAAATATATTCACAGCTTATTTGGGAAAATGAGTAGCACTTTAGTAGTACAGTAGTTGATACTGTACTTCATCTTATGGTAATATTTTAAATTAATAAGTATTCATTAGGTAGACCTACTTATAATAGTATGTATTAATTGACAGTTATTTTTGTAAATAATACTGTAGTGTACAAAGATAGTAGGTTTTAAAAACAAATTAGATGAAAAGCAAATTTCAAAATCATACATATCTGTAGTACTGTGTATTATTAAAAGTTGGAATGCTCCAAAATTATGCATACACACCTAATTATGTATGAAAATAATTTTTCACTCAAGTCAAAGATTAACACCTTTAATATTTTTTACAAATACAAAAATATTATCGCTTATCAATGTAATAAAATTAAATTAAAAGATTTTAAATCGAAAATCTTTGTAATAATAATGAGATAAAATCTAAGAATTAAAAGTGGAACACTACTCCAAAGCTGAGATTTTCTAGCTTTTAATTTTGTGTGCAGATCATTTTGTGAAGGTTACTAACATCTTTGAAAGAGAATGCAGTAAGTAGCCTAGTATTTATATGTTTCGGGGAGCGAGCTGGTCTAGTGGTTAGAGCGCGGGAATTCGGTCCTTGAGGTCCCGGGTTCAAATCCTGCCAATCACCAATGGATTTGATCTATTTGATAATGCCAGTACCCCTAGGCCTACCTTGAAGTTATGTGACAAACATTCTCAGGCTAGAGCATAGCGTCCCAGGACGAAACAAGAGTTGTTGAAAAATAGCACCTAATAATGCTAAGTGATATTAATTTGATTAGAGGACGAGAACTTATACTTAATCACTTCTTTTTAGCAATTTTGTTATAGTAACTATTGCGGAGCTAGGAAAATGTAACGGCGCAGCACTATACGCACAGTGGTTCACATTTCCTTGGGAGCTTTGAACAAAACCGAGCTAGAAAAACCCACCTTAAGTCATAAATAAATAAATACACTACTTAAACAATTCTAATAAAAAAAAATTCCGATCAGGAAATAAAGATCTTCAAATCTGCTTCCAAGAACAGTACACCCTGAGTTCGTCTGAAGCTCGGCTGAAAGGACGGCTGCCGTTTGACGCAACGTACTGATTGGCTTGGTACTCACTCATCACTTTGTAGTTAAAAACATCAGTGCCGAGTTGCTGAAAAAATGTTCGGAAGATTAGCTAAAAACACTTAACCAAACTATCTCGACATCTTTTAATTGGATCGTTAGTTTACTCAACTATACTTGCAATAGTGTCAATATTTGAATGGTCTTGAGTCAGCATTTGTTTTGAGAAAGTACAGTACTTTTCGTTAGTTCTTTGACCTTGTCAAGGGGGTAGCTATCAAGAGGTCGGTGTGTATAGAACCCCTGTAAGAAAGGGGGATCCTGGGGTCCTCCTTCAGAAAAATTTTGGTATTTTCAATATCCTTTAGTGACTCTATTAATCCACTTTTAACATCAAGATTTGAGTCCCAAAACATCCATTACTTTTTTAGGACAAAATGTATGTTTAAATTTACTTTTCCAGTTCAATCCGTAGCCCTCCCCCCTTGGAACCGCCATTGGTTGTGAAGTATATTTTAGTCATCGCTTAAATAGTGTTTTGATTCATTGGTTCATTCTTTTATTAAAACTTATCCATTAACCTTATCTATTTAATGACCCACTGTTTGAATGACTCATCTATCCATCTTTTTGCTAGTCAATTTATCCATTTGTTTACTTGTATATTCATCTAATTTTCATCTATTTGTCCACTCAACCATTCCTCCACTCATCCGTTTGTCCAGATAAACCAAATACCAAATGGATTAGAGCGCGCGACTTTGGTCTGCGAAATGGTCTATTTTCCGTTAATGGATTTTAAAGTGCGTTCTAATCCATTCATTCACTCATCCATTTGTCTTATCACCCGTTTATACACTCTTCCGTTTGTCCAATCATCAATTATTCATTCGATCACCCATCCAAAAATTTGGTTTTGTGTTAGGCTCAAAGTGAACAAATACCATACAACAAACATATTAGAAACATAACAGAGAGGGAATGGAGTAGGGTTCAGGCAGGGAGATGAAGTTTATAAGAGGGATAAAAGATAAAACAAGATTATACAGAATGAGGAATGAAGAGCGAGAAGAGGAATAAAGAAAGTTTGAGAGAACAAGTAGAGAAGACGAGATTGAGATGGTTCAGCCTTGTAAGAAGAATGGAGAGTGAAAGAGTCCCGAAAAGAATGAGTGAACGTCGAATGGATGGAAGAAGACCAAGAGGAAGGCCCAGAAGAAGGTGGTTCGACGAGGTGAAACAAGATGTGGAAGCAAGAGGAGTGCAATGGCAGTATGTGGAGGAAGTGGAATTGTGGAAGGACAGACGAAGATGGAGAGGCCTAGTGAACACCCAGACCCGAAGATAATAGGACCGGGAGAGGATATGTATTAGAAACTGAGAAAACCTATAAAATTTCCTAAGTAGATAGTGAAAGGGAAAATGTACCACCCCATACCTTAGTAAGAGGGCTAGTGTTGGTGGTGAAGATGCCGGCGAATCCTCGAGCTGTTGCTATAGACAACACTTCTTCTTCCATCGTCTGCATGGCTAGGACATTCTCAGCGGCCGACAAAGACTGTTCTGTGCCCATCATAAAGGCATGTAGAACCCTGCCTTTGCCTTGGGGTAGCTTGTAATCCCTGCACATAAAATGTTCTGACATTTCATTGGGCAAAGATGTAGTGGCAACGTTGGTAGGATTGAAATCAGGCCAAATGTTGAGAAAGATGTAGGTGGGAGGCAAAGGAAAAGGTGGATTTGAGAAAGATAAGACTGAAAGAAGGATGATGAGAGATTGAAAGAGAGACGTGAGACATTAAAAACACTGAGTAAAAAATGCAAAAGTCCTCCTTGTCTAATTTTTAGGATGAGTACTTTAGAATTAAGAAGATAACAATGGATCAGGGTAGAAAAAGCTTTGGTTAAAATGAATTTGTTGATTTTCTTATACTGGAATAATTGAAAATGTTAGGGCCAATTGATTCTACTACTAAAAAAATAGTTTATCGTCAGCGATATAGTACAAATAAATAAAAAAAATATTTTTACTTGCTTATACAATTAACAGGTGAGGGTTTGCGTTGAAAAAATCTAAGTAACTCAAAATCAATATGTGAACAACTACTACATTTTAAATCATAGTTGTAAAATTAAACTTTGGTGAATCAAATTTCATTTCAACATGTAAAACTCATATGTAATTTCATAAAGTAGTAGAAGTCAAAACAGATTTTCATCACTCCTCACCGAAAGTAACTATTTTCGATAACAGCTGACATCAATGAAAGTAGCCGTTTCCCAAGCTCTAATTTAGGGCGAGGGAAAATCGATCAGCTGATTTTCCCTCGCTCTAAATTTACTTTCCCTCGCTCTCAATTAGTTTTCCATTTATTCACTACGCGCGCAATTTTTTTGTTACGGTTTAATTTAATGATTCAAATCAGCTGTATGTATTGTTCAAAGTAGTTTTAATCTTTTATTTTGATGTTTGAAGTATTGAGAAATATACAAAGGTTTCCTTTAGAATATTTTATTTTATTTTATGTTTTAAAAATCAAACAAAAATGAACATAGGTTTACTTTAAGAAGATTTTATTTATTTTTATGTTTAAACAAATTGTTTGATAGATAATTACTGTAATATTACTGATGAGGTCTGCTACTCTGTGTTTGTGTATTTTTGCGTCGTGATGAAAAGTATCGTTCATAACTCGTACCGAAAGTTATTATTTGGCACTTGCTCCATTATTCCCGTCCTCGGCTTCGCCTCGTACGTGAAAATAGCTCTCACGTACTCGGCTTCGCCTGGCACGTGAAATTGGTGTTCCATGTGTTCGGCTTCGCCTCACACAAAAACTTGAGCGCGCGCCGGAAAATGCCACTTTCGGTCCTAGTAATGAAATATACTATTTCAAGCGTTCAAGGAAAATTAATTGTTACAAAATATTTTTAATTTATATGAATTTATATGAATGTATAGGAAAAAATGAAGATGAAAACATTATACCTGATTGGGGCTTCAACAAATTCCAAGAAGTCAAAAACCGCAGTGAGGCCTCCGCTGAGTTGAACTGGAGGTTCGTCATGGGCATCAAAACTGAGAGCTACACTGACAATTTGACCAGTGGCTCGGGATAGCAGGACAAAACTGCACAATAAAAAAAAGTACAGAATGCCTTCACATCAGCACATCAGTTTGTGTAAAATGTCAAAGACAAACAATCTTTATAGGCACATATAACTGTACATTGTATGGATTGATTATTATATATTTTCATAAACAAACACGTACTACGGCAATGCTGATCAAGAAATTATTTAATGATCAGAGGCTATATGTCTTAGTTCTAAGAGATAAGTTACATCAAGGTCAAATGATTTGTGCACTCCATAGAAGGCGGATTTAAAAAAGTGAAACAATTGTGTTTAGATTCTATAGTTTCAATTTGACATAACAAAATTTGCATAAACTTTACCTTAGTTCAGCTGCAATCAGAGGCTCCCATATTTTGTCCAGAAGCTCATGGTAGTCTTGTCTGGGTATACGTGGCTGAATGCACTGCTCTAGGTCTCCTTTGGAGTAGAAACTATCTGTGATTATCCTACAGACAAATTTGAAATTTGCTGTGAAAAAAATTAATGAAGACAGTAAAAATTATTGGTTTACTTATGAAAAGATAAATAAATTATGTTTTAAAGTGAACTACTGCACCGTAGTAAATTATGTTTTTACTGCTACTGCTAATTACCGTAATTCTCTTAGTGATCTAACCTGTAAACATCTGATTTATGTTTGTTGCTTATGATTTCTCTGATGTAAGGTTTCTGGGTTTGGGAGGATATTATGTTGTCCTCCTTTGCTTCTTCTTCTGGCTCCATTTTTTCCAACACATGCCTGAGATTTTTGGCGGAGATGAAGTCAGTGATACCTAGAACACATTTAAGTCTTAGAGAACCCCAAAACTCATTGGTATTAATAGTTATCCCTAAATATATACATTTGGACAGATGGTGTTTTTAGCCTCTGGCACATCAAAATAAAAAGTAAAGGTGTCGCCTGTCTAGGTCTTACGATGAGACCTTCTGTAACTTATTCCCTAGGTTGGAAATTTACTAAAAGTAAAAAAAAACACACAAATAATATTTATGACGTGACGACATAGGGTGTGATTATTAATTCAACCCTGCTTCTCTTCTTGTCCCTGCTCAGAAAACATCGTCAGTTAAAGACGTTGCTCCATCCCAATCTCCACCCTAAATGATCATATCAGCCATACCTTAAAGATTTTTATAACAAAACATTGTCCCGTTGAACAAGAAGAAATATCCTTTCCCAAACTAAAATTACGAACCCATCTCACCTATGAGATAGCCCTGATCTCGTAGTTTAGTCACTGTGTAGACAGAGTTGAGAGAGTTTCCGCCGAGGTGGTAGAAGTTGCTGTCGAGAGAGACTCGTCCCCGAGCAGCGCCTCCCAAGACAGCGGCCACTGTGAGTAACAAACACTTGGCTGTCGGTACATCCGTCTCTTTCACTCCAGCCAAGTCCAGGTCTATGTTCAGCATCTCTCCTCCTCCTACGATATGAGAAAAACAATAATATAGACAATTATTTATTAATTATATATTTATCAATTATTATTTATCAATTATCAATCATTGAGTTTGGGACACCTAACCCCCAAACGTTGGGGACATTTGAAACTTAATATAAGTGAAGGCTGAGTGTAGAATGATGTGAGATGATCTGTAAAAAATATATTTGATTTTTAATTGTTCCTGGCAAAAATCAGCTGTTTCATTAGCCAGGATAATTTATTTAAAGTCCAATGATCAGGGACAGCTGGGTCCAGTTTCGATCCATCAAAAAACTACCGACTCAGGATTGACCTGACGAACTTTTGATTGCTAGGCGAGCACTATAACACAGTCAGTATCTTTGATAATGCTCTTCAAAATACATACTCATTGGAAAAAGTACTGTCTTCAGAAAAATGCTTGTATTTAAGCTGATTACTATTTCTTTCTTTGAAGTATTGTTTCTGCAGCAGTCACTGATGTCATAGTAATATCTTCTGAGGTTGTTTGGAAGATTATTGAAGTACAGAGCTTCATCGTAAGAGATGATAGTGGTACTTGATACATGAGCAACTGATCTACAGTAGGCTACTGTGTATCTGTACATCTAGATAGATAATACCCAATCAATATGTCTCCAAAAAATATTCAAAAAATAAATAACTCTATCAAATTTAATGCAAAACCCTTTAAAGCTAAAAGATTTTTTATTTATTGGTGTTAATTTATTCTATATGTTTTTTCAACCTGCCTCAAGAGCTATTACATTATAACATTGTTGTGCTCTACTTGGATATAGATTGTGTTAATTGGGAAGGGGTGTTGGGAGATTAGTGCGAGAGACAGAAAATTTTCCTCCGCACACTTTCCCTACTCTGAAAACGTACAGTTAGTTTTTAAAATAGCTTGTTTAAATTAAAGTGTACAAAATAATAGCGGCAGTGATAGGGGAGGGTTTTTTATTTGAATAACCATAATTCCTGCTTATTATTCTAAATGATTCAATCCATGCAAATGATATTGTTTACCGTAACGTTAATGGTGTGTGTTTACCGCCGGTAACGTTACCGTTGCTTAATGACATCGATAGCATGATTCCTTGATTCTTCTTATAACTAACACTCATGCCTAAAACAACTTTTATTTGAACCATATTATACTTGGAAAATATGGAAGAAATATAGGATAGATTTTCAAGCAGGTATCTCACCTCCCATCTCAGCGTATCTCTTCAGCAATGTTTGTCGATCAACTTTGCCGTTGTTTAGCAGCGGAATTGAATCCACTACTATAACCTGAAAGTTTAAAAAGTAAATAATTATATTGCAGGCCTACATATACTCATTAAACAAGTTTACCATCCTTAAGTCTGTATATATACCAGTGGCTTTGGATGATGCTATAACACTTCAATTCCTATCATAAAACTTTTGGTTAGTTTCATATCTACTGTTACATTAGATATGCTTACATTGTTTTCTAATTTTTTACGATCTGCACGCCTGATAAAGTATAATTTCTTCATGTGATATTTGGTAACGCAGTCTTTGAGATTCTAAACATTTATGAAGAAACCAGCAGTTTAAATCGGATTGTTGGTTTTAGGAGAAAATGTTTGGTTGATTAATTGTTGTAATTGTTGTGAAAACAACAAGCATGTCAGAGTTTCTACTCGCTAGGGTTATGTGATAAAAAATCCAGCCTTAAGATAAACACATCTTGACAGAATTTGTCACGAACACGGGCTTAAAAATAGAGCCAACTATTGAACATGGAGATCCAATCCATTTAATCTACCCTTTTAAAAGCTTGTCTATGTAGAGTTTAACCCCACCCAATGAGCTTAACAATTCTTCAAAAAGTTTTTGAAACAGTCATTATAAAACCGTTTTTAACATATCTATATATCAGTTTAGTATCTAAACAATGAAAAGTTTTAATAGTTTAGTTGTAACATCTAATTATAATACAAATTTTTATAAGTTGTTTTAAACTATTTTACTATCCATCACATATACCTGAGAAAAATAAAGGAATTGATGTCTTTACATTCAGAGAAAATTTCATTAAAAAAGTCTTTGCATGAGGAGTACCACAGGGATCCATTCTTTGCTCATTGTTGTTCACTATTTCTTTTTAATAATTTACCTATCTTTTGTACGCTTACATAAAAAGGGCTGAAAATGACTCTAAACTTAGATTCTGTTAAATTACTTGGTAAGGATTAATTCTTGTAAAGTTTCTTGACTAAAGATTTTTTATTAAATTTGAAGCAAATCTTACCTGAGGAATTGCATAAATGGCCAAGTGTGATAGAAGTGCCTTCTCTATTTCTTCTCCTGAACATTTCTGATCAGAGTGTAAAGTTACATAGGCAATCACCATCTGAAATCAAGTAACATAAACATTTCATACACATCATTGTCTCTATAGATTACAGCGGCATTTGAATTCAGGATTAGTTTTATCCATACTAAAAATATCTTTTTAGTAAAAATCTCACTCTTCTTACAAATTCCATTTTTAAATTCATATCTGACATCTCATAATAGCTTATTAACCCAAAAATAAAAATCCATTTGGCTCTTAAGCCAAGAAACATCAGTATATTTGCTTTGATTAATTAATAGGGAGGTTTATCAAATGTTGGAATTCAGAATATTTTCAGTCTGGATTAGGGATTCCTATACCTGGACAATATAAAGAGAGAATAAATCCTGTACTTCTCCAATGTACAAGTAATGAGTTTGACTGACCACTTCAAAACGTTGGCTTTCTTAGCAACTGTTGTCAGAATCCATTAGAGTTTTCGGGGTCAATTACATCGTCTCATGTAATTCACTGCCCTGATGTTTTCATTTACCATGAATTGGTGGCATCCTCCTTGCTTAAGCTGAGTCCAAGTTCCTTACTTCACAGGTTGGAAGGACGAGAGGTGTATTACATGTGATTACACAGCTGACACAGAAAATGAGTAGATGAAATTACTATAAAAACTTCACCAACCTGATCAACTTCTCCAGGCTTGTAGCACAACACCGCTGCCTTCTCTACCTGCGGCAGTTTACTGAGAGCTGCGTCGACCTCAGCCAAATCCACCCGGTGACCTCTGACCTTTACCTGTGAATCGGTACGACCTTCGTACAACACTGTGCCCTTTACTAGACGTCCGTAGTCCCCGGTGTGGTATAAGCGGCTCATGTCTGTAAAGAAAAAAAAGGTTCCCTAAAATGTTTGGAAGATTATGTGGGCAGGAATAGTTCTTATGTATACTTGTAACTCTGCCTAGTATAAAGGTTTACTACATCGTTCATTATCCACGGTGTCAAAGGTTGGGACGGAAATGTACGAGCAAGGAAGAGCCGAACGGCAAGCACTGTGCGGAAATTCCTATCACACAGAGGAATCAGGGTCTTCCTCCACCGTGAGTGGTGTAGTAAATGAGGGGCAGTGTGGAACTTTGCCCTAGACACCAGCGACTAGTGCTAGCCACCAGCCAAGTGTACCATGAAATGTATCCTCTGTTCCTTACTTTACTGTGTCCAAACAGAAAACAATATCAGTTAATTTCTTACCTGGATCAACAGTGTGATTGTTGGATATAAACTTGTGAGGATCTCGGTTGTTGATGTATCCTGCGCAGACGTTGAGTCCAGCCACGTAGATCTCCCCCACCTCTCCCACAGGCACCACTGACAGCTGTTTGTCCAACAGGTAGATAGTTGTGTTGTCCACCGGTCGTCCTTCAAAGAGTAACATCTCATGAAAAGACTTTGCTGAAGAATTTTATATGTTACAGTTGTTTCTTTAAAATCTGTGGCGTAAGGGGGCGTTGGTTTACAAAAAAATGTCGGATTATTGAGACTGAGTTCCTTTTTAAATGCATTTGATTATGATATAACATTATTTTCTACAAATTTTTAGAGCAGTAAAATGGAAACAAGGCAAAAAAGGAAAGAAAAAAACAGCATAAGAGAATAGATTTTATTTGATGAAACATTTGCTGTGCTCTATATGCCTCTAATCTTGTCATGATGTATTGGTTTCTTTGCACCTGAAGATGGGATCAGATTCAAGATTCTGAACATTTTCATGTTTTTGAACAAATATTTTGCTACACCTAGTACATATAGATGAGATGCTTACCATCCACAAGTTAATGATACTTATATTCTACGCCACTAACCAATGGGGACTTTGTCAAAGGCAGCGAGGTCGTCATGGCTGCGGATGACGTGGAATGTTACGTCTCCCATTACCTCCGTGCTGCCGTAGAAGTTACAGAGTGAGACGTCTTTGTCGTGGAAGTGATCCAAGAACTGCTGGGCCAGAGAGACTGCTAAAGGCTCTCCACTACACACCCACGTCTTGAGGTTCTGCAAAATCAATACTATACTTGACTGCAAAGAGGAAAAGTATAAGCTATTTAGTAGTTTAGTTATTATCTTATTTGTTTTGTTTTGCATCAATGGTAGTCAAAATACCTAAAACTAAACTAAAACCAAATAACACAGAAAATTTTCCCGATTCCCTCACCAGCAAAACCTACTCAAAACCATCAACAAAAAGTCAAGAAAGTTACCTCAAAATATACAAGCATGTAAATATAAATTGATTGAATACCTTCCTAAGCAAACAAGCAAAACTATAGCCAATTTTCAAAATAATCTACAACATTGAAAATGTCATAACTTGATAAACAGCAACAAACAAGTAATATAACAAAGATTAAAGTATCCACCCAACCAAAGACCTGGAAAGCTGTTACCCTTAACCGAACGCAATAAACTCCAAAACCCCCGGTCGGAGAAATGAAACAAAGAAAGAAGGACCTCCCGTCAACATGAACTCACAAGAACTCAAAAGTTAATAATACCTTTTATATTAAAAACTCAAGGTAAGAAATAAAAATAAAGCCTCTTGGTTACTAATATGCACTATCACGGCGACTCGTAATGGACAGAAATCACTATAACTACTCACTTGTAACTTGTATGTTTTATCCAAGGTCAAGAAGAGAAGAATAGCTCGGAGAAGAGTTGGAACAACAAGCAGCCTCTCCACCTGAAAAACAGAAAAACTGAACTAAAGAGTCAATAATTATCATGACACAACTAATAGTAACATGCAAAAATCTGGTTAAATTAGAATGACAAATTATTTATCTATTGAATAAACTGTGTTCTCTTCAATATCATGTTACTGTAAAAAGTTAAGCTATATTATAAAATTTTTCAAGCTTTTAAATTTCACCTAATTTTAAATAAGCAACACATATCTAAAGTTTGTGGAGTCCTCTTCTATATTCATGAAAACTCACAGGCTAGAGAAAAAAAACTACTTTGCTTTCCCAAATGAAACCTTAACCATCAAACTTCTCCCTATTTAATCCAACTATTCAAACAACTACCCCCATTATTTTTTTTTAGGGAAAGGAGGTAAAAATGACTGTACACACACATATTGCCATTTGAAGTACAAGACTCCTGAATTGATAATTTAAAATATGCGCCTACTCTGTTGGACCCAGACCTGAATTGGTTTGTCTCGTTACTTAGAGTCAGATCAACATGTGACCAAAGCCCTCAGGGCTTGCAACATTTCTGGCATTAAATTTCTTTATGACCTAGACCACATCCCGGTTGTGATCAAGCTTCTTGGCACAGAGAATACCCTGGAAAAACTCTAACACACAGGTCCAATTGTCCTCACCCTCCGTCACCATCGGGATGACCATGTCCACTGACAACAGTCCTTTATGTTGGTTGAGCCTCCAGGTGGGACCTTTACCAGTGGAAGAAAGTGTGTTCCCCTACCTCTGAGTACCCAAGCAGTCTGAACTCTATCCTTTTTCAGCTTAATTTTTATTAAATCTATCTTGGTATTCAAGGCGAAAATGTTTCTCATAACCAAATTGGCAGGTGGACAATTTGGATTTGTTGTTGATGGATAACTTCTGATCAATAATGAGATGCATCAGCCCATAATGATAGTGATGACTAAGTTCTACGCTGACCACCATAGTGTTATTTACAGTGTTTACCTGGTACTCGTCCAGTAGGGGTATCAGCCGCTGAGGGTCCTTGGTTATCTCGCGAGGAACCACTAGTAGACTGATAGGAATCTCATGCAGCAGGGGCCCCCAGATCTCACACACAGCGTCTACGAACGTCAACGTCGTCTTGAACACACAGACTCGTTCAGTCTGTCCGTAGGGGAACTCTCGCCACTGCCAGCAGAGACGATTCAACACTACAGCATGCGGTAGACGAACACCTGCACACAGATGTAGACTTTTGGTTCTTATACACATTTTTTACACCGACAAATTTTTCTGCTTACACATCTGTCAATTGGCAACAGTAATCAATAGAAATAGTTCTCCTTCCTTCAAAACCCTAATCAAAGAAAGAGATTTATTCTTGGCAGGAGCATCAATTTTCCTCCACTTTTGTTTGGTTTGACAAGATTAATATTTGTGTATATGTTGGAATTTAGGAGGTTTATAGTGGACAAAGTATAGAACACTACATTGGTTTCAAATAAAAATCTCACTTGGCCTAAGAGTTTAAAGTAGACCTTACTTACAACACTCATAGAATAACAAATTTCTTTCCCTTTCTTTTCCCTGATAACAATTTGTCCTAATTTTAAAAAGAAATTGTAGGGATGGACAAGTTTCATAATTTTGAGAAATTTTCGGGAAATTTTCAATCTCGTTCTTCAAGACAAGATTTAATTTTGGTTGAGATTTTTTCGAGACGAGATTTAAAAAAAAATCAAATTAAAACGCCTGCAGAAAGTCAATGCAGTACCCGCAATACAGGCGCGCGTTGTTGATGAGTTTCCTTTACGAAGGCGTTTTTATATAATTAACTAGCTGTACCCGCGGGCTTTGCCCCGTTTAACTTCATAAGTACTCGCATGGCTCAATCACGTCCTGGCTGAAGTTCGTTCGCTATGCTCACTCACCTTTAGGTTGGAGCTCGTTCGTTGCGCTCACTTGCCTTCGGGTTAGCTCCTTCGCTACGCTAACTCGCCTCGCCTCCAGGTTGAAGTTTGTTCGCTACGCTCACTCACCTTTTGGTTGCAAATTAGCTGTTGTCATAAATATAAAAAAAATAGTGCAGCACCCTGTTGGTAATCCTTGTAACTTCAATGCTATTGAATATCATAGAACAGAACCAACTTGTTTAATAGAAACAGCTGTTAAGATTCATTAATTCCTTTATATATGACAAATCATAAGGTTAACATGGGAAACTCCAGAGCCACTGGGGCAGAACCCAAAAGCCCGATCAGAATAAAAACTACTTAGTTTTTCTATTTAATGCCCAAAGAATCAGTGTACCGAATTTCAGCCTCCTAGGTGAATGGGAAGTAAGAGAATTAGTGATGAGTGAGTGAGTGAGTGTGTCAGTGAGGGCTTTGCCTTTTATATATTTAGATTCTTTACATGTAAATAAATATAGCTTTAATTGTTTTATATTTTTTTGGTTTTACTTTGCAAATGGTGAGAAGTTTTGTTAAGTGAGACATGTTTTAATACTTTTAACATAGGTAGCCAAAACAGGTCAATAGAAAATCATTTTAAAAATAACACAAGACTGAAAAATTGTTAGGCCGAATAATAGTCTACTTAACTAGTATGACTGATGTTACAGACTGATAATTTTTTTTTAGTTGTACTATATCCTAATTGATATCACCATGTTTCCTATGCGTCAAGAGTTATTTTTTGAGTAAGGCAGGACAATATTTTTTCTTGCTGATGTTTTTTTAATAAAAGATGTGAGATTCTTGCTTATTAATATTATTTTTGTATTTAACTAGTCATCTGTTATAAATTAGTAGGTATTCAAACATTTTACAAAGTCAGCTTAAAAATGTCGAACGTGCATTTCCCGTTATGTATGAGAAGGGAATCCCGTTTCAATCTCGTCTCAAAATTTTATGTGAAATAAAAAATCCCGCCTCGTCCTGAATTAAAAATCCAATCTCGTCCATCCCCACAAATTTGTAACAAAAAATTAATAACAACTACCTGTAATTCGCTATATTTCCAATACTATCAACATTTTTGCAACTATTAATTAGCGCTAATGGGAAAATATGTACTCCATTGACTATAGAAACATGGTTGAGTTTCATAATCAATGGTGCAATGGACCATCAAAGTGTTTGTAGCCTATTGGTTGATGTAATGACTAGACCAGCAAGTAATTAACCAGAGAGTTTATCGGTTGATTGATTTGGCCAAGAGAGAAAGAGCGCCAACAATAGAGATTACAACAGATATTTCTCTCTCTCACTCTCTCTCACTTTTATTCTCACAGTTGAGTTGTTATGCCATTCTGAACTCTATGGCCTTCTGTGGAAATCAACGATATTATAAGTTTGAATTCAGACACATGAAACATTCTTCTCATCAAAATATTTATAGGGGACATTTGTTATTCTTCAATTATTAGATTTATTTTCCTTCAAACTTTATTAGAGAATTTCCACTACCACGAATGTAATCGGTCTGCTGTTGTATTAAAGTAATAGCATCAATAAGCAGTGGTCATTCATTAAGCTCCTACCTATTTAAAAATAAATTAGTGCATTGTAAATATGTTTTGCCATTGATGTTTAGATATTGAAGCAGGCATCCTATCTATAACAGCTGTAGATTATTTTTCATTGGAAAAGTAAGTATTTGAGTGAGCCGCAGAATGTGCAACAGTGTAAAAATATATTTTACCCTGTAAGTGTTTGTTTCTAGGATAGTTTGTGTGACATAAAAGACGCTATAAAATCTGCAATAAGTAGTAATATTGACTTTGTACAAAAGTTGGCATATTTTACAGAAATCGGTTGTTGGCTGAATTCAACTACGTCCATTTTGATTCTAAAGCTGGTGACAACTTAAACATGGAGATTGAATGTCTCCTACCAATAGTCAGAGCTTTGCTTTACTAGATAGCACAGAATGCATGTACCTTTAGGTACCCCAGTGCTACCAGAAGTGTACAGCACGAGTGCGAGGGGTTGGGAGGTAGATGGCAACATCTCTTCTTCCGCAAGACTTCCATCAGACTTCCCAGCAGCCTCAGCGTCTAGGGTGGCGAAACTGACTGTGTTGTGACTACGGAGCACCGAGTCCAGCTTATCTGTTCGAAGAAATATTTTTGTTAGTCTAACAAATAATAAAAAGTGTTTCCTTTTGAACTAAATACATATGCAGCTATAGGAGTATTGTTTAGAATGAAAATGTTGTTGAATCTTTTGTAAAAGGATATGTAAGGGTTTAGTTTGTATCCATTGACTTTCCATTTATGGGCAAGATGAGGTGTAGCAATTTTTTATTAAAATGAGACAAAGTTGAATGAATGTATTCACACTCTGATGAGGTAAAGATATATTTCAGTACAGAGTAATATTAATAATAAGAGTTTCTTTAACTTTATTTTACTTTCCATTCAAGAAACAATGGTGGTTTCTTCACTAAGAACCAATTAATAACAGAAAAATCCTTACCTTCTGGTTTATCAATGATCACTAACTAAGAATTAGCTAAATTGACTGGTTATTCATGTACATTTGTGTTTTTTTCACAATGACTGAGTTTAGTGACTTGTATAAACGTTTGGGTTACAATCTATGACAAAAATTACAAAGTACCTTCTGATTCCTCGGTGATTACTAACTGCGGTTTGGCCTCAGAAAGGATATGTTGTACTCTGTTGGATGCTTGCTGATCCAAAGGCAGGTAAGCTGCTCCAGCCTTCCAGATGGCAAGGAGGGTCAGCAGCAGTGCATCACTGGGTGGAAGACTAACAGCTACCACAAGATCACCACCAGAGGTACCACTACGCACTCTAGACACTATAGCACGAGCTAGACAGTTGGCAGCCCTGTCCAGCTCACTGTACGACAGCTTGTGGACAGCTCCGGTTATACCTGGGAACGGAAACAAATATTAGTTATTATCTTCTTCGTCCTTCCAAGGAATAGGCGATATAAAAACTACTTCATACTCCTTCTTCACCTTCCACTGGTGTGGAAGACGATTGCTACATCCACTGCGGAGAGCTGGGAACATCGCAACAAGTGCTGATGGAATGCTGGTTCTACAACGAAGAAAGACGTGAGATTAAGGAATGCCTTTGACAGAAGATGTGAAACTGGGAGAAGATAATGTTACAAGTCAGGAGCCCCGCGCAACAATAGCCAGGCGCCGTCTCAAAAGGGTTGTTTGTTTACACGGGTTTCTCCTAGCGCACCACTGATAGACAATAGACCCATGTCAACGTACTACCTCAATAGGGGCCCTAGAACCTTCTACACTTCTACGGCGTAAACACCTTTGTCTAGGCTACCAGGGGTCTCCAGAATGCTCCACGGCAAACTTATATAAGGGACCGTCTTCCGGCACACGGCAGTTGAGTTGAGTTGAGCCTTCCGAGAATCGTCGCGGCAAGCGCCCGTCGGTGTTAGTGACCAGTGCTAGTGCTAGTGGCAGTGACAGTGTAGTGACGGTGTAGATACAGTGTAGTGACACTAGTGACAGTGTAGTGACAGTGTTGTAACAGAAGTAGTGATAAATCCTGTAGAGGCTAGCTGTAAGTAGAACCGTTGTAAATTAGAATAGGCATTAGCTAGGTTTAGATAGGGTTAGTTAGGTGTTAGGTAATTGTAATATTTGTAAATAGATAATAATTAGTGTAAATAAATAGTTATTAAAAAAATCGCCTAATTTAATTGTAAAGAACCTGCTAAGCCCGCAACAATAAGCTTCTTGGAAAACAAGGAATCAACGTTGGAGATTGCCAGTGTGTGCCGAAGAATGGGGGTAGTTTGAAATAGAAATACAGAAAAATGTAATGAAATAAGAGGATTGAATAAAATCCAATGATCCTAGTTCAGTGAGTTTTTAGGTGAGGAGAGACGTGTGTTGGGTGGGCACCGAATCTGGATGGAAAGACAAAAATTAAAGCTGACAGCAGAAAGAGGAATTTGAAGTTTCTTAGGAAAGTGGCCAGGTGATAAAGTCTCTGCCTTAAACCAGATGTGGAGGAGGGCCAAACGTTTTCCTTTTCACCTACTCTGGTTCTCCTTCTTTACCTTCTCCAGGATCCTTCTTCGCTGACTCCAGACTCTTTCTTCGCCAACTATTGATTTTTCCTTCACTTACTCCAGACTTCTTCTTTGCCAACTTTTGACTCCTCCTTTGCCTACTCCAGACTCCTTCTTCGCCAACTTTTGACTCCTCCTTCATCTACTCAATACTCCTTCTTCGCCTAATTTTGACTCATTCTTTACCCCCCTTCTCCAGACTACTTAATCCCCTCCTCAGGACTCCTTCTTCACCTTCTCCAGATGTTTTGTTGCCTCCTCCAGATTCCCCTTTTCGCCTCTCCGATGATCTTAGGTGATCTTAGCAGTGCTCGTGGCCACAGCGTCTTGTATTTTAAGGTAAACGTTAGTCTAAATGTTTGTTCGTACATGTTTAATGTTTTGAAATGTTTTGATCACCTCAACATGAGCAAAGTGTGTATCTTGACAAGGACCCATAGAAAGGTGACACAATAATTGGAACACTTGTCATCCACCTGTAGAAGAGAGAACAAAATCACCTGACAGAATTTTGAATCATATGGTTAAAACTTTTTCTTTACATAATATAAAGTGATTTAAGAATTCACAATATTTTATCAGAAAGTAAGACATCACATAGACTACATTTTCCATCTTGTTTATCTCCTCAAATTTAGGAAAAACATTAGCTTATTCTACTTATTTTAGTAGTCTGCAATTTTTTACCTACCCTTATATATGACAGCAGTAGCCCCTGGGTTGTTTCTCGCCTTCTCCTCGTACAGTCGACTCAACAGACAGACCCGAGGCAGCGGCCTGGTGGCGCCCCGCAACACCGACACTTGCGGAATCGACCCCATCCTGAGCAACAGATTTACGAATTAGTACATGTATTTATATTTACCAGCTCAACAAAAATAAAAAAATAATATTATTGGTGGGTTGAAAATGGGAAAAACCAACCCCCATGGGTTATGGGGGTTGATTGGGTTGGTTTGGGGGGGGGGGGGGGTTTGTGGTTTGGGAATGAGGGGGTTGGTTGGGGGAGGGATTGGGTTAAACTAGGGACAGTAACGGTTGGAACAATTTTGAACGATGGGTTTTTTTGGCCTCTGGGGCATCAAAATTAAAAGTTAAAACAGTCCCGGATGTCTACAATGAGAAATAACGGTAATGGCTAGGGAATGAGATAATTTTCCTTATTGGTTAATTCGCTAAATGACCTTGTTTTATAGTTAGCAGGCCTTGAATGAATACAAATAAGAACTCTTGCCATCCACATCAATCATCCTAACATGCCAGACATTCCCAACAGAGTTGGCATTGATTAAAGACTTTTCACAGCTGTTTCCATCTCAGCTGTTTTTGTATCAGATGTCTTAATCTGCAAGGACCACAGAGATGATTGGTCTGCCAACATGAAGAAAATCTATTTTTCTGTTATCCGTGATTATTAATTTGTGTAATGAAAATTGTAAATAATAAAAGACAAAACATCTGATTTTAGAGTATTGTTGAAAGACAAAACATCATGGTAACTATTATAAATATTTTGAACTTAATTAACGCAATCAATGTTTTTTATTGTTTCTGTGATCTTATAAAAGTTTTCGAAATAGTTCTTATTAATTGTAACTAGTGTTTACAATACAAAGTTTGTCCCTTGTAAGAAAGACAAACTTTGTTGACAAATTACTTATTACGTTTTTAATAATTAATTAGCACAGCTGTTGGTAAAAACAACTAATAAAAATAAGCATGTCTACACAAGATTAAATTTTATTGAATAATAGGTTGAACATGACGAAACATTATTTAATATTTTCATAAGCCATTTTGTGAAAAAAAATCACTTTTACTAATATTACAATTTTAAACAATTTTACTAACTTATAAGGTAATATATAATCACCCATAACCAACAATAAGTTAAATAACAGTAAAATAAATTGCCTTGTTAAAAACTTCCGGCAACAATGAACAGCTGATCTAATTACAGTCAGTGTTGCCAACCTGTTTTCACGCGTACACGACCTCGCCTAGCTATTACCAGTAGACTACAATTATACTGTACATGATTACGGGTTATATTCAATGCTATTACATGCTTACTATTTTGTGTTTTTACGATGAAAAGCTCTTAAACGGTAAAGTGAAAGAGTTCAGTAATACATGTAAGATATTTAATAAAGATTAATATATAATAAGATTAGCTTATTTTATATATGTATACGTGTGTGTCCGTTAGAACGATAACTCGAGCTAAAATTATCCGATTTTGATGAAATTTAGTACAAACGTTTAAACCTACATTTATTCGAACGAGTTCCCGAACTAGCATGATCGGACTATGGGAAGGGGGGTTATGGGGGTTTTTATGGGGTAAAAATAGGGTTTTTCCTATTTTGACCTAAAAAATATAAATTTTATGAATTTTCTTCCAGACCATTTTGTAGAGCTTAGAAAAACAAATAATTTAGTATATTGAAGCGTTATTATGTGCCTAATGGTTATGGAAAAAAGTGTAAATTTAAAATTTCCATGTTATTCTTATGGAGAAGAAGTAAACTGTTGTACTGTAGTTTGCTTGTTTATGAACGTATTTTGATCAAATTTGGAAGATGCATTTATTTCATACTAAACTATTAACATTTTTACAAAAAAGAACACTTTTTACCCTCCCTGTTGCTGCATACTTAAGAACTCGTTCAACTAATTCTATTTAAATAGGGAATAAAAGTGACATTTTTAAGGCGACATGCTAGTGTTTCTTTACAATAAATTTTGAACTGCTTAAACTAAGCTTGAATTAAGAATAGACATATTGATATAAATATACAGTTTTAATGGACTACTCGATTCCCGTACATAGGACGGGCCAACAGCTCGTATACTTTAATCTACAACAATTTTTCTCTCCAAAGTAGCTTTGATCAAAATTTAGCGACATTCTTATTACGCACAGGCAGAAGTTTTTTTGTGTATACAGGTAGTGGTGTGTTACTTGCTAGCCTAGTGGTTAGGATCGTGGACTTTGTTGAACAAGAAACGGGTTCAATCCGTAACATACCCAACAGATTTTGATGATTTTGAACCGCTCCCTCTTAAGCGTTTGTTGCGCCTCAAAAATGCCACTGGCGTAGACACTTAACATCAAGAACTCCCGTACTCCCGAACTGTTAACAATACAAACATGAAATATCCTTCTTCGACCTCCAGTTGTCATTCATGCTTCCAAACCTACAGGAAATCGCAGATCCAGATCTTGAATGCAATTATCAGCGTGACAAACTCTATGCTCGTTCATTGTGCAAGACCTAACAGTTTTGTCCTCTAGTCCTTGAAGTCTCTGGTTCATTCATCCGTTGATTTCCTTAGAGCTAGGAGGACAAGGACGCTATGTAAAGGACCTTATCATAGTTACAATAGAGAAATCTCTGACACGCTCTCTAGTTGAATAGTTGACGGTGTTTGAAGGACTACTGATCTAGAAATACAACTGAGGGAAGCACTGGCACTTAAACTCTGCTAGAAAATCTAGGTTAGGTTACTTCAGCTTAGGTTAGTTTGCGTCAGATATCGATTTCGGCTCAGAAACTTCATCTTCAGTTTATCAAGGTAGACAAAAATTGTAAAACAATGTTATTTGAGAAAGTGTGAATCAGACTCCCAGTTGAAAGAACCTGTAGAGTCCGGAAATCTCATTAACTTATCTATTCACCAACATGTTACATATAGCACGGATACATTGCAGTATACAAAGTCTAGCACTAATATTTTACATTCATAATCCAGTCGGTAAACGTACTGAAAATCAGGAAGAAATCATTAATCATGTCTGGAGAACATAGCTACTGCGATACCAAGAGTTATTACCAAACTAATTTCGCATGATACAGTATTTAACAGCAATTTAAATCAACCAAACGAGTAATTAGTACAAAACGCAATTTTCTGTAGTAATCATCGTCTATATATGTGCAACAAATCTAACTCCAGCAACCAAGGTCGGAACTGTCAACAAGGTAGCTTTCACACGAAGTTTTTTTTTGAAATTATAAAAAACATTAATTGACAGTCTGTAGCCTGGAGGAACGATTGGTACGCTCAACAATTCTAAAAGTAGTTTCGCGCTAATTGAACATATTGCTACCTTCATGGCTTTACGCTTCCTGGTAAAGTCTGAATGCATAATGAATAAATCAAGTGTTGTATTGATTCATGTTGGCCATCAAGTCAACTTTACCTTTGAGCAAATCCAACCATTGGCCTAACTAAACATTGAGGTAATCCAATTGGCAAAACTAAGCGTTGTTTTCCCGACTATTGGCACAACTAAAGGTTGAACTACCGAAACTATTGTCAAAAATAGGTGTCGAGCTACCCCAAATATTGGCAAAAATAATCGTTGAACTACCCAACTATTGGCAAAAATAAGTTTTGATCTATTCCAACTAATAGCACAACTTAGCGTTGAAGTTTCCCAAATATTGACAAAAATAAGTTTTTTGCTATCCCAACTATTGGCACAACTAAGCGTTGAACTACCCAAACTATTGGCACAACTAAGCGTTGAACTACCCTAACTGTTGAAAAATAAGTTTCAAACTATCCCAACTATTGGCAAAAATAAGTTTTGAGCTATCCCAACTAATAGCACAACTTAGCGTTGAACTTCCCCAAATATTGACAAAAATAAGCTTTGAGCTATCCCAACTATTGGCACAACTAAGCGTTGAACTACCCAACTATTGACAAAAATAAGTTTTAGGCTACCCCAACTATTGGCACAACTATGCGTTGAATTACCCATAACTATTGGAAAACATAATTTTTGAGCGACCAGAACTATTGGCACAACTAAGCATGAACTATCCAACTATTGGCACAACTAAGCATTGAACTACCCCAACTATTCGCACAACTAAGCGTTGAACTACCCCAACTATTGACATAACTAAGCATTGAACTACCCCAGCTGTTGGCAAAACTAAGCGTTGAACTACCCCAACTATTGGCACAACTAAGCGTTGAACTACCCTAACTGTTGAAAAATAAGTTTCAAACTATCCCAACTATTGGCAAAAATAAGTTTTGAGCTATCCCAACTATTGGCACAACTAAGCGTTGAACTTCTCAACTATTGGCACAACTAGGCGTTAGTAGATATATTCATGTCACTTCTGGGCCAAAAAAGGAGCCACTCAAAAATTAAATGAATTTTCCTATTTTTTTTTATACAATATGCTATATTTTTTACCCTTTTAGGTCAATTTCTAACATTTTCATATTTTTCTAGAAAAAGTATACAATTTTGATGAAATTTTCATGAATATGTCTATATTTTACATAAAATTGACTACAAAACAAAATGTTTTTAAAAAACAAGTAAAATTTTAAAATTTAATTTTTATACAAATTTAACTAAAACAGTTTCTTTATCTTTGAATGTTTTAATTTCAGTAATAATTAAGTTTAAATCTTTTTTATTTAATTCTTTAATTGTTTTTTCATCAAATATATTAATAAATCTATGAGGTAAATGAACTTTACATTTTTCTAATTCAACAATAATTGTTGGTCCATATTTATCTTTAACTTTTTCAAATTTTTCTATTTTATATTTTGTATTTAATTCTAAACTTTTTATTGGTTTATATTCTTTGAATTTACATTCTCCAATATTATTAATCTCTTCTAATAGATCCATTTATTACAAAAAATAATTATAGAAATTTTAAACAGTTAATAATTGAAATATATGAAAAGAATTTTAAATATCACACAACAGTTTGTTAGAACTGTTGTGTGATATTTAAAATTATATTTTTTTTAATAATATCTGATGTATCACTTATGTT